CACCGTAGAAAATTCAAATTAGAAGTTCGTTTTGTTATTCGGCAAAGCGCGCGCAAGCTTTGGCACAACACACACGCGCGTGCGGTTGTTATAAGTTGTCGGATCAGTGTGCGACATCGCGTAGCTGCAATCAGCTTGAGTGAGAACGTGTCTCGGACGCTGAATTCAGGCCCAATTCAAAACATGATTCAGCAACTTTTGATTTGAAATCGAGATCCTAGATTGTTGTTTTTCTCGAAATATACAGCTAAAGCTGAGCTGAAACTTCATCAGGTTAGTTGTTCAGCACGCTTCTTTAGATCTTGAGCACTTTTGTTGCTTCAAACGAACAAAATGCACAAATTGCAAATGGTGGACTGTACCTTTAATGTATTCCAGTCTTCTAATGTCAAGGTAGGATTGGATTAGCAACCAAATACAGGAGGCCTGCCGACACCACCCGGCCAGGGCAGCCAGACAATGTTTTGACTGGGATTCTGTCTGGCGAGCCAAGGAACCGGCAGGGTGATGGAAGGAATCTCTCACACTCCTCTGTTGTTGTTGTGGGGTGCAGTGAACTAATTCAAGCGAGAATTTACGCCGGCTGATTAGCATAAAAAGTGACCCCACAATTGCTTTTAAAAAAGGAGAACGTGTGGCTTTAAAAACAGTGGAACTGTGTAAATCTAGCCAAGGATCAACTCCCTGGAGTTTGGGCTTCCATCTGAGGGCAGATGGACTTGATTATTATTAGCGATCAAAGTGTCAGTTCTTCGGTTACATTTTTCTATTTGATTAATCAAATTTAACCACTTTGTGAAAATAAAGGCTTCCATTCAGAAGGTGTAAGAGAACGGCCAAAACTGTCTTAAAACAGAAATCTCAAACATTTCACGTACATGTAGCACTGGACGATAAGGTGATACAATTTTATCGCCACGAAGATGATGTTTGTCTGAAAAAATCGGAATCTCCTAAGAAATTAAAAAAGATTTGAGATAGGCGATATCATTTTTCAATCGTTGATTTTTCTCAACCTGCATTTTCTAAGACAAAAAAATTGGCCTTTCGATTAATCGAAACCGTAATCGAAAAAGGAACAATTAAATGATCGAAAAAAATTAAGTGTAAAGTTGATGCCCGAGTGTGTAAAGTCTCTTCTCTCTTACATTGCACTTTGCTGATGCATCTTGTGATTTTTGGAAATTGTCAACAGTGGTTTGCTTGATGTCTTGTGGTTGCCCAAAGAAGCTTTTCGTTTCTCCTCAAACAAACAACATTTTGTTAATTGAACAAGCAATGAGATTTGAAGGTTTGCATGGTGGAAAGATACTAAGGCTGCATCCGAATCAGTTGTCTAGAGCTAGGTCTAGGTCTGCGCCCATTGAAAATACGCGGGGACGCGCTGACAATAGACGTAGCCGTAGCTCTGGAAGCCCATTTCGGACACGGCCTTAAGACAAGATAAGTTTGTGGTAGCACCATGTGAATAAATCTCTTTTACAAAAGACGTTTATGTCTTGTTTTGAAAAAGACATAAGGGTAACAATTTAAGGGGAACCAGGATTTCAGAGCTACACAAATGTTTGATTTTTTTTTTCTCATTTACTGATGTACAAACTTGTATACATGTACTGACATTCAGAATGAAATATTAACGTTTTGGACTTTGCTAGGGAAAAGATTGGCCTTTTGAATCTCAATCAACACATCTATTTATAGTGCAATGTAATTCTAGGAAATATAAAGTTTGTAAATGTTTTGAAAGAATGCATGACTCACAACATTCACTACAAAAAATGTTCCCCCTACAGCGCACCAGCAGCACATGAATGTTCAGTATTTCAACATGGCTGCATTAAAATCACAACATACTTCCTGTAGTGGGTGAAATAGAGCTAGCAATTTGAGTAAATCTCCCTTTGGGGGGTTTGCGGTTGGGGGGGGGGTTGAGGTGAGGGCAAACTGGGCACAGCTGGAAACTCCTTATTTGGAAGACAGAGGAACTTTGTGTTTATGTTCGGAATGTCTTTGTCTGAAACAAGAGGGGCTTTCTTCATGTTTCATTTATTGAGGCAATAGCCAGAAAATATTGCTTGTCTAATACCGTGTTTCCTTTACATTGGCGTCTGAAATGCTCAGGAACAAAGTCCATTCTGTGTCTTTGTTCTTGCTGATCAGTTTTTAACAAATCGTTTCTATAGGCCCATGTTGTTTGTATAAATTTCTAACTTGTTTTGCTTTGCATTTCCCTAAAGGGAAGTGCTATGTTTTTGTATCTGGAACTTTGTCCCTGAAAGAGTGAGGAAAGTTCACAGCTGTTTGTGCAGAAAAAGAAAAACATTCATGTGACTTCAACAAAAAACCCTTGTTAATGTCATAGCTATCCCCAACTTTATGAAAAGGGAAATATGTATTGAAAAGGTACTTTATTTTGCAAACAGCAATTGAACAAAAACACTAAATCACGTCTCCTTTTGAACTGGGAATATACATGTACATCATTTGCTTTTGCTGTAATTTTCAGAAATGGATGGAATTGGGGGGTTGGAAATATATAGCAAATATAGTTACACTGACTTTTTTGAGGTTTTGGGTTCGAAAATGCTATAAAAACCAAGAAAAACAATAATTTTCCTGTAGTCTGGTTCCCTGAGTCCATATAAGAAGAAACAGAGCAGTTTACATACATTGGGGAATTGTAAGGTCAAGGAACCAGTCTAGCTGGCTTGTACCCGTTCATAGGTGTGTAATCGATTGCAAACAAGTGCGATGGTCGATTGGGGCCAGTATTTGAAAAAAAGCCAGTTTTTTTCCAACGCTGGTCGGCCGACCAGCGTTGGAAATTGATACAAAAATACCACTTTTATTGAAAATGACAGTGTACCAGGTGCCATGATTTTACAGGATGCTTTACACTGTCATTCACTAACAGTCCGGCAAGGTATTTCAAAATGATTTGGTAGTTTTATTTTTTGATGTTTGCAAATGTTGTATTTTCCATTTAACACGTGTCCCTACATGTTCCTAAGTCGCACATTCCTGGCCCATGATGGAATGGCTAAACAATTACAATTGCCCTGCACTTCCCGACTATCGCACCAGCCCCATTGTGATCGGGTAGAGTTGCTGTATTGTGAAATATTTGCACATTGACAATGGGAAAATATTGCCAAATATCGGTCTGATCAAACAATGAAGGGCTGGCCACTGCTGCAAAATATCTTGTTTCTGCTTGAGTGGAATCAACCACAAATCCACATGTCTTTTTATTTTTTTTAGGGGGGGGGGTTATTGTTATAAACTTAACAAATAAAGACAATCTCAACACTTCATCATTGATTAAATAACTTTTAAGTCACAAGATTTTACTCAATTGTTAGAGTATTTATTAATCTTTATTAAGTGAGAAAATTTCAAATATTAATCCATTTTGTTAGTCCCTATATCCCCCAAAGTGTCATGCCTGTAACTCCTTATATCGCCATAAAATGCCATAAAATGCTGCATCACGCAATGGTTTAATGGATTAATCAAGGAGTAAAAACGATGAAGTACAATGTAATACAAATGTAGTACAATGTAATACAATGTAATACAAATGTAGTACAATGTAGTACAATGTAATACAAATGCTGATGGGTTATCAAACCCCCTCTTTGTGTAACAAGTTTTTCTAACATCCCAAGTTGAAATTTCTTGTTTATCTCCAAGTGCGAATTCTCACGCTTCCAAAAACATCACTCTATGGTTTTATAGATTCATTGTAAATACGATGTAATACAATGTAATACAATGTAGTACAATGTAATAGAAATGCTGATGGAACATGCCCCCTTTGTGTAACAAGTTTTTCTGGAAATTTCTTGTTTATCTCCAAGTGCAAATTCTCACGCTTCCAAAAACATCCCTTAACTCTGGGGGCTGATAACAAGCTATCGTTTGATAGGCCCAGCCACTGAGCGGGTGTACTTGACCTTTGACCCATCAAATAAAGTTCGCACAAAGTTGAGGATTTTTGTACTTTGCGTTTGAAGAAAAAAGGGGTTATCGGCTTCAAAATGTACACACTTCAGAAAAGATTTATTGAAGGTTGTTTCGTATGCTTTACATACATTTTGTGCATCGATCATAAATATTGTATAACAAGGTCTTGTCATTTAAAAAATTAATAACATCTACATGTTGAAGAAATTCAAAATAATTTGCATCATAAAGTTTGGCTTTCTATTTTTAATTGGAACTGCAGAAGTATAAAGAAACAAATAATACAATCATCAAGTCAGTTTGTGATGCGAGTCAAAGGAAATCGCTTAATGAAGAAACTTAAATAGGAATGCAATTCGAAAAAACACATTGATCGTTGAGAAATTTTAGTGTCCACTTTATTTTTATACATTGCTAAAAGTTGTTTTTAAACGTTAATAAAATTTATTAGAATTTACTAAAACAATAATTCTAATAAAATTAAAGTTACGGAAACACAAAAAGTTGCTTAGTAATTGGAAGAATACAGAAAAGGACTCTTTTAAATTCTGTCTAAAACGGGAACATTTTAAAAAACAATTTCACCTGAAGTTTGACAATAGTAGCAGATTACTGGTTGGTTGCATTGCTGGTAACCAATAGCTGTGCATCACAATGCACACATGCAGCAGGGAACCAGGACCAAAAAGTGTGTTTGATCAATGACATCGGGAATCAATCAACTAGAAATTCTCGCGCTTTTTTGTTTCTGCACAGACGCAACAATCTCAAGCACATTTATAACATTGAATCAAATTCCATCTCGCACCTTTTGTGTTTGTGCAAAGGCACAACAATCTCAAGCACATTTATAACATTGAATCAAATTCCATCGCAATCATCATGAAAGTAACCGACCAAATTATTGTTAAAAAGCTCACATTGTTTGAAGACTTAATGACACTATACTCCCTGTGAAATCTTGTGAAGGTGGCATTTCTGTTCGAACAAAGACTATCATCTCTTTATCCTTTTTTGATCTCATCATTGAACAGGCCCAACTGCGAAGCGCTACACCCTGACAGCGGCCAATGGTTACCACGACGATGACCTCGTGGAGTCTCACCGTCGCCATCTAGACACCATTGACATGGCGACCGCGCAGGGCTCCCTGTCCAATCACGTGACGCGCTCGTCCCGTCCGCAAGCAGGCAGCTTTGAGGAGCAAGGCTACGTTAACCAGAAAGAGGAGATGGCCGCCATGCAGAATCGTATCCCACAGACGTTTCGCGACGCCACAACCGCCCCGCTGCGCAAGCTCAGTGTGGATTTGATCAAGACCTACAAGCATATCAACGAGGTAAGCAGACAAATATAATAAATAACTTTGAACGGCTTATCCTTTAACTCGCAGCAGAAGCTGAATTGCGAAGGACGCAGCTACAACTTGGTCAAGCCAAAGGCAGGGCCATACGACCCATGTCTTTCCACTGAACACAGCCAGATTAAAAAGCGTTGATATTTGCAGAAGGAGGAAAACCGGAGAACCCGAGAAAAACCCTCATGGCACAGGAGAGAACCAACGAACAACTCAAAAAGTACATGATTTGAGCCAGGAATTGAACCCAGGCCACAGCAGTGAGAAGCCTTTTCATTGCCTCACCTATTGTTGAAATCCACTTGGGTCCACCTGTAGCAGACCCAGATCGTTCCAAACATGGTTCTCGTCAGCAAGGCCTGCCATTTTTTGATTTGTTCATAGGCCAGCCATAATTTGTTCGATTTTCAACTTGGTACGAGCCTCTCAAAGTAGTCCTGACAAGGACAAATTGTACCCATGTACGTTGAAAAGTACAAAACCATGTACGGTAGAAGCCATGCTGGATTATTGCTAGTGTCAGTTTTTCCACCTCGCTCAATTTTTGCCAATATCACCACCTCGCTGTGAAGATTTGCCTTAAAGGAAATACTAATCAAAAAAATTCATTTTGTGTAATTAATGAGCATTTTCCTTGACCTCTATGTATCAAGAACTCACAATTTGGATGTGTAAATGGAATCATCTCGCATTTTTGTAAGGGCTGCATCCTTTGGAGGTCGCAAACTGTGTTTATTTTATTTCAATCATCAATTTGAATTTTTACCACCTCGCTCATTTCATTAGCCAGGGGAAACACTGGCTAGTGTGATATGGGTTGCCAATTTTTTTTTTTTTTTGGGGGGGGGGGGTCGTCCCAGGTGCATCATGGAGATTTTGGATAGAGTGAGAGGGCCAATAGGAAGTGAGTTTCAGTTAAAGAGGGTAAAATGATCTTTGATTGAAAGCCCATATATGGACATTGCCTGAAACTTGAAAGCTTTTGGTTAATTAGGCAGATTTTCATTACAACCTTTTTACTTGTTCCCGAACACAGGTTTATTATGCTAAGAAGAAGCGTCGCGCTCTGCCAGCTCAGGGTGACGACACGAGCCACAAGAAAGAAAAACGGCTCTACAACGATGGCTACGACGACGATAATTACGATTACATCATACGGAACGGAGAAAAGTGGGAAGATCGGTACGAGATTGACTCCCTCATCGGGAAGGGCTCCTTCGGTCAGGTGAGCAATTAGCTTGAACATAAAGAAAACATAAAGAAAACATAAAGAAAACAGGTGTAAGTTTAGCCTTGGTCAAGGCGTTCGTCATTATTCGTCCGTACGCGATAAACAATCGGCGGCATATCCTAGCTAGGGAGTGCATTTAAAATACAGCGCGAACAGCAACCTCATGCGGTCACTTTTTTATGCAAATCATTTGGATCCAGACGATCGCCTCCATGTGAGGTTTGGGGGGTGGTGCTCATAATGTTAAAAAAGTTGTTTTCTTAATGGTCAATTGTTGCGTGGAAACTTGCATTGTTAGCAAGCGGTACTGGCGAGACGTGTACTGTACATTCTGTAATACATACACACGTTGTGTACGTCGATGTCTCACATTACACACCGCACAAATGCACAAAAAATGTGGTTTCTGACACGTCCGCAAAGGGCGAAAGGCTGCAAATGATTTGATGACGTCGAGATTTATCAAGGTGTGATTGAACACTCCACATATTGGCCCAGCCTACACTTATCTGTATTCGCATATGAGGTCGTGCGCTGGAACTCTAGCACAAAATAAAGAAAAACATAATGCACTGTATAGGGAGGATATGCGGCCATCGTTTACCGCGTATGAACAAATAATGACGAACGCCTTGACCAAGGCTAGTGTGCGTTCCACTTGTGCAAACCTTTCCAACTTTCATAGGCAACATTCAAGCTGATTTTGTGCATATCAAATGGGAAATCATTTGCGAACATTGGCAACGTTTCTGTAAGTGATTTGAGGTGGTTTTTTTTCATTGAAAAGTGGGGTATCCATATTGCTAAATTTTACAGCAAAATTGAGTACTTAAAATAGCATTCCTAGCACAGGCGGGTGTCTAAAAGATGCCGAGATTCCGCTCTTGCTAAAATCCATGGCAAAACTGGGTTGATTTGACCAAACTCGTCATAATTAAGGAATATTAGAAGTGATGAGTCTTGCGATAAGTACAACCATCGTAAGTTACCAGGGTATGATGCTGTGAACAAATTCAGTAATTTAGTCCTTTGTACCTTTCTTGAATCTTTTTTCATTGATCAATTCAATTCAATTCAGTTGACATTTATTTAGCACTCTCCAATAAACCAATACAAAGTTGGATAATGTAAGTACAATACAGTTATATTTAAACAAGCGATTACAAATGTAAAGGTAATTACCACCTTTTCAAGTATGTCATTTATCCAAATCTGATGGCACAATCGTACATGTAGGTTTCCCTTTTCCCAACAATAAAAGAGTCAATTTTGATGCGGAAATGACCAACTTAACCTTCTTGAATAATCTTTCCCTGGAAATTGACCAAAAAAAATCCAGACAAGTGTACACGTAAAAAGAAGTACACTATTCTTGCAGTTGGCTACGGAATTCCAAAAGGGGAATTCCGAAAGTCATTTTACCCATCCACCCGGTTTTTCAAGCTGATTTCCTCATACATCAAAATGGAATTACTATGGATGATTTGACCGGATTTAATCATCTAGTTGTGGTATGATGTATGGCATTGGCTCCCTAGACGACACAGTTTGACCCACAAATATGACCCCGTGCATTGAGTGCATTCCGTCATGCATTGCATACAGGGTTACGGCTCAGTCACGCATGAAATAGAGGGAGTTTTTTCCTTCCGGTTTCATTTGATGCATATTTTGGGCAGTGTTGCATTCGAGCCCCTGCAAGTCCATCACAAGTCTTTCAGTCTCAAGTCAAGTCATTAGTCGTTAATGAACTGTTACACAAATATTGAATGGCTCAGAGTGGAATGGGAGGAATATTATCGCAAGGTAAAATCTGGACTTTTCCATTTCACGAGGCGAAGCCGAGTGAACTGAAAAAGTCCAGATTTTACAGAGCGATAATATTCCTCCCATTTCACAATTTAAAGCCACTCAATGTTTGGTTTATATAACTGACATATAGATCCTTGACAATTTTGACTTGCTTATTCACCCAACTTTCTGTGCTGATAAGTTTTTACAAAAATCCAGTTTGTTGCATGTTTGCCACCATACATTTACGTGTGGCTTGTCTTCTTCAAACACAGACATTCCAGGGGGCCAAAAATCAATTAATTTTGATGTGCGCATGGAAACCTTACGAGCTTTCGGCACATGATCATGCATGCACTGGCCTCATTCCGTTACGGAACATTGGTTATTACAATGTGATTGTTTAGGGTTCCCAGTAAACGGAAACTCTGTCGTCCCTAATGGATTTCTAAAAATAGCCGACTTCTTTTTCCCTTTCCTTTTCGAGCTTGAATTAATGTTTACACATTGATGTTCATGAGTGTGGTAGTGGGTGGGGTGGTTAATTTCACGCTGGTTTGCAATGTAGGGTTTTTTTTAATGGGGACTTGTCCGATTTCAAATGGAAATGTGTTAATGACTAGGAATGGTCTGTTTAAAAAAATACTCAGACAGGAATTATACGTGTTGCACACTGGATCCAGTTGGTAGGAGACCGTGGCAAAAGGCTGAAAACAGAAGATAATTGTGAGCTTTTATTGATATGGGTTTTAAATTTCAGTTTTGTTTCCTTGATCCACAATGAGTTCGAATGAAGCTTAAAATCCTATAAATGTAACCAAAGATATACCTAGATGGTAGAAGCAGAGCGTCCATTGTTTCAGAAATAATGCCTTTCTGATCAATTACAAAATACAAACTCTTTTGGTTTGTGCATTTGAAATGAAGGTATCATTCACACATACACACACAAACATCTTTGTTAACACCGGCAATCGGGGACCCCGTATTGTCTGTAATCTTCATTCTCATTGGTTTTGTACACAAATTTCAATCGCAGACTATCGGTCAATCGTGGATGTATTGTGTGTGCCCTAACCCTTTTGTCCTAGGTCCACGATTGCCGGTGTTTACATACTCGCAGGCACAAAAATAAGAAATTAGTGTACATGTATAAATGGGTCATTCCATGAATTTGGGGTCCAATTTCTGTGTGTCCCAGTTACATCTGACACGTATAAGATTTTGTAATTTACAATGTAGGACACATTCTTCAATGCCTTCTATAGTCTCCAAGAGTGGTTATGTAAAGCAAAGTACATGCCAAACAAATAACACAATAGTGTGCAATCAATTTTAATGATACTTGAATGGCAATTTACACAGGTTAGGTTTAACGGGGACACACTCAAAAGGTCACACTTTTGGACCCCAAATTAATGATTAACTCACATACATGTGGATGTAATATATACTTTTTGTGAAACGAGAGTTCATCAGTGTGTTGCTTGAGAATCTATAGAGCAAAAGAGTACTCTAATCTGGGAAGCAGTTTGTTTTTCAAAGACTAATTATTTTTTCCTGTTTTGAGCCGGGGGGGGGGAGGAATCTCCAACATGTACAAAATAACAGCCTTGCAAACATACTGAAGTGCACATGCATAAGCCATTGAGAAATTACCAAGCAAGCTGCATACATGTTTCCCCTAAATGTCACTGAGTTATTGTCATGAGCGGGTCACAGGAGGGTTCAACAAACTTTTGCAAGCACCGCAGGGGGTCCTTAGTGCTGGGTGGATGTCTGCGATCGGATCAACGGACAGACAGGTCCATTGCGATTATGTGAATAATCTCGCAGAATATCGCTGTGCCTGAGGCAATTTCTGACCCAAACAATCCGTTTAATGAATGTTTTTCTTTCTTTTGCCTTTTGTTGTGTACACAGCACGTGTGGGTGTCTCTTCTGATGAAGAGTTGATTGAGCGTATTCCTTTGTGCATTTGAAATATGAAATAAATAGAACTGCTACATTGTACATTCTGCTTAGTGACTGGATTGGCCCGAGATATATAAATCAACAAAAGCTACTGGTAGAGGGCATGACGTTTCAGCCTTGCGGGATCTGTCTTTTTACTCTTCGAGAAAAATTCTTACAGGGTCGAATCATCAGCCCCTCTGACTTCTTTGATTTTCCATTGGCCTACATGTATGTTGTTAAACTTTGAGATAGTGTTGTACTTGTATCAGTTTGCTAAACGTTGCTTGTTTGTTTATCAATTGTATTCTATGGTTATAGTTATTATCTCTGCCTCATAGCCTGTGAATGTGTTTGCTTAGTGTTCCATTTTAATTCTTATCTCTGGGATATTATTAAATCAATTTCAGTCTATTCCGTGTTCTTTTTTTTTTACAGGCATTTGAATGACATTTCTCCTTGTTTTAGACTGTCAATTCTTCCACGGATTCTAATAATGTGCCCAAAAAATAAATCAGAGTTCTTTCAGACGGTCTCTTGTATTGCATTGGTTAATTTCATTTGTATGGTTAGCGACTTGTTTTTGCTACCGATAGATTTCAAACAGTAAGCATTGAACACAATCTCCTCTGGCATTATGCAAATTTATTTCCCCCTCTCAACCAATAAGCCATTTGCGTGTAACCTATACCCTTTGGGATTTACATTTGAAAAACGTCTGGTACAATGACTTGCTCAGAATGCTTGGCACATTTTAACTGTGAATTCTCCAGACCAAAGACACTGTTGCTAATCACATGATTCGGGGGCAAGCTCTTGCATAGTTACGTAAGAGACGCTCAGCATCAATACATCGCTCACAATGGGTGAGAATGGCACAAAGACACCAGACCATGCCGGAGCTGGGGGTTGCTAGCATAAGGCTTGCCCCGAATCACGTGATATAGTAACAGTCTCTTTGGTCGGGAGAATGCTAGGTTAAAACGTGCAAAGCATTGTATTAAGTCAGCGTTCCAGATTTTATTCAAATTTAACCCGCAAATGGCTTATTTAGCAGGATTTTTGAACGATGGTTGTTAAACTTAATCGTAAAATGCACATTTTTTCAAGGATTTATGTATTGTTTCCCCACAGGTTGCCAAGGCATATGACCACCAGGAACAGGAATATGTCGCCATCAAGATTATCAAGAACAAGAAACCCTTCCTCAATCAAGCTCAGATAGAGGTCCGCCTCCTGGAGCTCATGAATAAACATGACACCGATTGCAAGTACTATATTGGTGAGTGTGCGAATTCATTATGCAAACGACTAATTCTGATAGAGCCTTCTTAAATGGAAATCTCTAAGAGTCATTTGCATAAGCCTGCACGGTTAATTCAAAGCAGCTCGTGAATAAACATAAATTATGGTACTAATTGGAAGCTCTTGTAATGGGTGTGAATTATGCAAATGAGTTGTTTTGTGAGAAAAAACTCCAAGTCCATTTAAATTACCTCATTTCAGAAGCTGAAGAGCTTGAATAGAGTGACACCTGCTCTAGAACATCCTTTAAATGAATAAACATGTCTAATATGTTAATAATATTAATTGATGCATAAATTATGCAAAGCGATCAAACAGATAGCGAATGAAGACTCACCATCCACTATATTTAGTTTCGGCCAGGGAAGAGGAAACGGGTTTACGAAGGGAGAGTCCCTTCCAAGAAGGAAATGTATCTGGAGTGGTGTGTTTATTTGCTTAATTCTATTCCTGTAAAACCTCCATGCTCTGTGTATACAGGGAAGCAATTGGTTTTCGTTTGGCAAGAAAATACTGGTCATTCTTTTGGTTTCAGTGTAATGTAGATACACACAACAATGTAATTATCCAACAGTAAGCTGGTACATTATTAGTACCTGGCAAATCAACACCAAGTGCAGTACTTGTGCTGGTACAGCTAAATTCGAAGGGGTTGGTGCTCTTTGGAAGTACATTAAAATGCCGAACATGTCAAAAAGGACATTTGGCTGTAACAAACAGCCCCTTTGGCTTACGAAATATTAAAATCTGTTGACCCTTGCCTTCAGCTCAGGCCATTATCCGCGCGCCCAGGGCCCAATTTCATAGCACTGCTTAACAGCCGACTTCGTGCTTACCGAGCCTCCATCTATTTCATAGGGACCGTTAAGCAGTAAGCACAGCAAAAGCACGCTTAACCCATAAGAAAACTTTGCTTAAATCAGTGACGTAACAATACAAATCTCCATGCGCGCGCAACCGTTAGCATGAAATAGTGCTTAAGCAGCTCAGCATGATTTTCTGCTATAGTAAGCACAACTTTTCTGCTAACTGTTAATCAGTGCTATGAAATTGGGCCAGGCCCCTAACCGGTTTTAAACATACTTGTTTGAAACTGGCCAAGCACATAATGTACAATCACTATAACGAATGACTACTTATATAAAAAAAATATGGACCCCATCGTGTTCAATATCAAGGTGTTCTACTTGTATGTACATTGAATGAAAATTTGGGTTGCTGCTCCGTTGACTTTTGAAAATTCAGAAATGTTCTTGGCAAAAATGTCATCCGTACTTGGTACCGAAGTTGTTTGAAAAAAAGGAAGTTGCCTTCTGAACTGTTTGAGCTTATTACATGTACAAATGACTCGGTAGTACACAGCTTTGTAGCATGACCAAAACTGAAACTTTCCCAGGCTGAATATTAATAGTTTTAGAGCCCAAGTTTGTTTATTTTCCAAAGGTGATGTAAGGGTCATGAAAAAAAAACCGGCTGATAAATATGATAAAAAGAAGAGCATCATGTCATCACTTGAAAGTTGTGTTTGACAGTTGCGTCATAGTATCAGGTCAGAAATGTGTCGAAACACGACCTGAATAGTTTTCACACCTAAGCACAGGTGATGATTTGCCCGGGTCGTGTCAGGTTACTGGGTTTCAGCGTGATTGTACACATTGTATTAACTGTGGGGGTGAGGACAGTGAGGTGTCGCTATTTTACAGCTGTTGAACTTGTACTTGATGTGTACAAGTGAGCAGTCTGATTTGAATAGACATTTCTTTTGCGATACGTTCTGCACTTTTTAACGTCCAAAGGTCAGCAATCTAAAGCAACAACCATTGCAAAACAAAAGTAACTATCAGTGTTTTCTAAAAGTACTGTCTGACTATTCAAACACTGAACAATCAACAGGCACTACTGAGAGTTAAATGAAGAAGCCTTTCTTTTAAAGGGAATATACAACATTTGCAAACATCGAAAAATAAAACTACCAAGTTTTTGCGAAATACCTTAATGGGATGTTGGTAAATGACAGTCTAAAGCATCCTGTAAAATTATGGCACCTGGTATACTGTCATTTTCAAGAAAAGTGGTATTTTTGTATCAATTTCCAACGCTGATCGGCCGATCAGCGTTGGAAACAACTGGCTTTTTTTCAAATACTGGCCCCAATTGACCATTGCACTTGTTTGCAATCTATTACAAACCTATGAACGGGTACGAGCCAGCTAGACTGGTTCCCTGACCTTACAATTCCCCAATGTATGTAAACTGCTCTGTTTCTTCTTATATGGAGTCAGGGAACCAGACTACAGGAAAATGATCGTTTTTCTTTGTTTTTATAGCATTTTCGAACCCAAAACTTCCAAAAAGTCAGTGTAACTATATTTGCTTTATATTTCCAACCCCCCCCATTCCATCCATTTCTGAAAATTACAGCAAAAGCAAATGATGTATATTCCCTTTAAATACTGTGATTTGGGGGCAAAATCTGTCACCTGCCACAGTTGAAATTTATGCCACTGATGATTGTCCATAAAAATAAGGCTCAATGTTTACAAACAAAAAGAAGGTCAAGCTCTGTATGGAATGGTATGGTGCCACTTTCACCCAAATTGGACAATGTCTTGTTGCTAGGCAAAGAGCCTGCCTGAATCAGGTAACATGGCAACAATATCTTTAGTCTGGAGAATTCCAAGTTGACATGTGTGCAGCACATGAAGGAGTCTGTGTACCGGATGTTATTCAATTTAGGCAAAAGGCAGAGGTCAATAAGATGTTTTCTTTGGTCTTTAACATTAACTGGGTGTCTTTTTCTTCTCCACAGTCAAACTTAAGCGTCATTTCATGTTCCGCAACCACCTGTGTCTAGTCTTCGAGCTTCTTTCTTACAATCTCTACGATCTTCTGAGGAACACTAACTTCCGCGGCGTCTCGCTCAACCTGACGCGCAAGTTTGCGCAGCAGATGTGCACGGCGCTGCTGTTTCTGGCCACGCCGGAGCTGAACATCATCCATTGCGACCTGAAGCCAGAGAACATCTTGCTGTGCAACCCAAAGCGAAGTGCAATCAAGATTGTGGACTTTGGAAGCTCCTGTCAGCTAGGTCAAAGGGTAAGGGTCAAAGGTTGCTGCATAATAAAAGGTTCTTTATTCAAACTGGTTGGCACATGTGAAATACATGGTCTTAAAGTGTCACAAGAGGGCGCTATCACCAGTTAGTATACTCAACTAAATTGTTGTGTATCACAAGTATGTATGCCTTCTGAAGTAATTTCTGGTTCAGAAAGTGCATGTACATGTATTTGGTTGAAAAAATGTGAGGAAAATTGAAAACATCCAGGTTGTTCATACTCGTGTTCAGTTTGTTGAGACTGGATTGTTAGGTGTGGAATCTGGATTATGAAGGTGGTATCCATTTTTATGGATAGTTTTTCCAGTTATTACTACTGGCTAATGGACTTCGTGCGTGACCAAATGAGGGCGCTGTGCAACTTAGCAACAAGGGCCAGTGCAGGGTACTAACTGTGTATGTCTGTACTCCATGTGTGGTGTTGTTTAGTAATCAAACCATTGTCCAGGCACCGAGCAAAACAAAGTGTTGCCAACTTTGAAGGGGAAGGACCAGCAGTGTTGTACTCTATCAGAGTCGATCGAAGTCGATCATTAGTCCAGTCACAAGCAAATCACAAGTTAACAAGTAACAGAGAATGAACATTAACAATAGACTGCATGTGTCACTGCTCATTTGAATAGCTTGTACTTAGTACTTGGTTGGTTCTTTTCCTAAGGACTTCCACAAGGGAGTATAACTAGGAGGCCAGAAACACCGGGGCTAACCCCTTCTCTTAGCAATAAGTGTTACTGGCTTCTTTTACGTGCGTTGGGCCTTATACAACACACGGGACCTCCGGCTTCATGTCCCATCCGAAGGACGAAGCAATAATGGTTAAGTGCCTTGCTTAAGGGCACAAGTGTCCGGGCCCGGGCTCGAACTGTTGCCTCTGAAATACCAGAGCATGAGTCCAGTGCTCTTAACCGCTAGGCCATGACACTCCACTCCTTGTGACTTAACTTTAGGACCTGATAGCTTGTGGTTGGCTTGTGATGAACTTTTGAGGCCTAGGGATGGCCCTTACTACAACACTGGCGGATAGGAACCTGTCAAACACGGAGACCTTAATGTGATGTTTCACACTTCCTGCTTGGTGGATACTTGCAAATAGAGTCTATTATTATTAAAAGTAAGGTTTCCATTGTTGTTTATATTTTAATTTTAATGGTTTTCTTGTAACCTTTCCATCGACCCCTTGTAGATATACCAGTACATCCAGAGTCGGTTCTACAGGTCCCCAGAGGTTCTGCTGGGTATCCCCTACGACATGGCAATCGACATGTGGAGTCTGGGATGCATACTTGTCGAGATGCACACGGGAGAACCGTTGTTCAGTGGCTCCAACGAGGTTAGTCAAGTTGATCTGTCATGTCTGGATGTGACTCTTGAGGACCATTTCATTTCTTTCTCGTAATGAATGCGAATGTCAAGTTTTTGGTTTCACTGCTAGTGTTATATGCATCAAATTTGCTTCCCGTTTGCATTCCTTGAATTATGAATCTTTCATTGCGAACCTGTGAATATCTGATTTGGGAGGCAGAAACCATGATACCAACTCTTAATGTATGTTCAGGGATCATGGATTCTTCAAATAAAAAATATTCACATTTACCTATCAATGTCTTGCTTAGAAAAGAACTGGGAGCATGATACCCATTCTGAATTCTTAAGTAGGACCAAGGATGAAATAATGAAATGTTTTGGTACATTCATGACATGCTGTTGTTACACTTATTGCTTTTGACCACAGGTGGATCAGATGAACAAGATCATTGAGGTTCTCGGGATGCCCCCGCCGCATATCATTGATCAGGCGCCCAAGGCCCACAAGTACTTCATCAAATCCGACAAAGTCTGGGTGCTCAAGAAGACGAGAGACGGCAAGAAGGTAGAGAGCTATGGATCAGGGGTGTGAAATCTCAGCTTTAAAGCTGATTTCAGCTTTTTTTGTTTTGGATTTCAGCTTTTTCCCTCACTTACTGTGTACAAAAGTATCTATAGGAGATTTCCAAAGTTCAGCTTTTTTACACCCTTTTCAGCTGTTTTCAGCTCTTTTGATCAGTGGTCACTCACACCCTGTATGAATCTTAGCTCAGGGAGATCAAAACAGTTTTGTAATTGAATCTATCACAAGTCAGTAACATCGTCTCCTAGAGGAGGCTAGTCAAACCGTTGAAACCAAAGACAAGTTCTTTTAGAACTTAAAGCAACACTGTTCGTATCAGAACTAAAACTACTTAGCGAAAGTTTATAATAAGCTGGACAAGTTCTTATCAGAACTAAATATCTACTGAGCGAAAGTAGTTATTACTACATGGTGTTACCGCAAACTGAAACGATAAGTCAGTAACAAGTCAGTCACAAAGCCTATCAGAAGTCAGTCACAAGTCACTTAATAATACAAATCATGCATTTTCTGGTCAAGTTAGATTGAAATATTCTTTTGTAATTGTTCATTCCTTGTTCTTGTGATGACCAGACTGGTGAATTGAATTGTGATCCATTTTCGACCGGATTTGTGATGGATTTGTTTTTAGACTACAAATTTGGAGGGGAAAAAGGTAGTTCAGGCCTGCAGTATGACCTGGATTTTCCTTCAGTGTGTGGGGTAACTCAAAACCGTAACCTCCAGACACGGTTAAAGGCAGGGGAAAATGTTCTGTTAGGGTAGGGGTTTGATTCATTCAGCCTGGGTATGGTAAAATATAGACTCGAGACCTGTCCTCATATCATATAAACTTGAAGAGGTCATGAAGACAGCAATGCACTGGCTGTAAGATTCCGTATCTGATAGGAAGATATAGAGTATGTATTCAGATAATGGCTAAGGATAGTGATTATTGATTAGCTATCATGGATGGGGATCAGGTTAGCGTAGCAGTACTTTGCTCACCTTCCCCGTCTGTGACCTATGTTCAAATACCGCCCAGGGCAGTTATCAATATCTACGTGATTCCCTGATTCTTGGTTCTTGGTTGGTTCTTCTAAACACTCCGCGTGGGAGTTTCAACAGGAGGCCAGAAACACCGGGCAAACCCCTTCTCTTAGCGATAAGTGTCACTGGGTTCTTTTATGTGTATTGTATTACACAACACACGGGACCTACAACTTTACGTCCCATTCGAAGGACAAAGCAATAATGGTTAAGTGCCTTGCTTAAGGGCACAAGTGTCCACCCGGCGGGCTCGAACCCACGCCACTGTTGCCTCTGAAACACCAGAGCATGAGTCCAGTGCTCTTAACTGCCAGACCATGATACTCCACAAAAAAATGTAAGTATGAGGTATTCTTACCTCAGAAAGTGTAAATTCCACAGGACAGCCCTGGAAATAATTCAAAAAGTTTTATTTAGCTATCCTGGCTGATTGCCAAAAAATAACAAGTAAATATAACACTTCTGTTGGCTGTTTTCCTACAGTACAAGTCACCAGGGTCAAGGAAACTCCACGACATTTTAGGGGTGGAGACTGGGGGTCCAGGCGGGAGGCGGGCAGGAGAGTTGGGCCACTCGGTGTCCGACTACCTCAAGTTCAAGGACCTTATACTGAGGTGAGTAGGGTTGCCAAGTTCCCAAGTGCCAAGATTTTCTTTTCTTGGTAATTTTCTCCGTCAGATTCATCTCACTGATTGATAATTTAAAAGAATATATAGTTGAGCAAGGAAGGAGTGGAAAACAAATGATGATGTCAGAAATTTGTTCGGGGATGATACGACCACTGTGTCCCAAAGGAAGGACAAAAATAAACTGCAGTATTTTGGCCATGTTTCAAGAAGAGAAGTAGATAATCTAGAGATTATTGTTCAAGGAAATGTTGAAGGCAGTCGTTCACATAGCAGACAGAAACTCTGTTGGGCCGATGAGTTAAATTAACCGACAGGCATGTCTCTGACCTGCCTACCGGGCAGCTTTGGACAGGTGTAACTCCATCATCAAAAGGGTCACAGTGCGTCAGGTATGACTCTCAGGACTACGACTACGAAAATTGAGCAAAGAAAATGTGATGTGTGGAATACAGTGTTCTGATGGACACAAGCTCCAACCCCATTCAAACTAATTTGTCTGTTCAGCCTTGGTCCGTTTTGGTACGTAGACGGGTTCCTTTCCCCTCCTTTGGTGGTCTAGGAATAATGGAAGGGGCTAGGAACCAGCATTCCATTCCTGACATTATAGAGCTACTGAGAGCCCTCTTTAGTTGTGTTACTTTAACAAAACGTTCACAATTGAAATCACAGAAAACTTCAAAGTAATTACTTACATTATTTTCTTTCCATGCTGAAGATTTGACATCACAGTGCACACTAAAAAACAATCCAAAAAGTACAAAAAACATTTGTTTTTTAGTCTCATTTATGCAATTGACTTTTTTAAGTAGTGCAACAATTTGCCATTTAAAAAAAAAGTTAAACAATGTTGTATATCAAAAGTCATTACATGTATCTCTCATTATTTCATGACAATATTTCACCTAAACTGTAAGATTTGTTATCTTTTTACATGAAAGTCTTACCTTTATTCCCATCAGAATGCTTGAGTACGACCCAGCGGTGCGAATCAAGCCCTACTACGCCCTCCAGCACTCGTTCTTCAAGCGAACGGCGGACGAGAGCACGAACACGAGTAACACCCCCTCCACAAGTCCCGCAATGGACCAGGCCGCCACGCCCCCAACAGGGGATGCTTCCTCGGGCTCAAGTTCAGGTGAGGTCTTCAGTTTTGATTTTTTTTAAGAGACCAGTATCTTCTGGGTTTTCTTTTTCTTTTCTTTTTGCCTCGTCTGGCACAAGCTGGTGCTGTACAAGGTTATTGGTACTTCAAACCATCCGACACGAATTTGCAGCTGCTTTTGCTAAGAGTAACACAATTTTCCCAACATGAGTGATGAATGGGAGATCTTAAAATCCTCCTTTCCCCAATGACACCCCAGCAGTGCCCCTTAAAGGGCAAATACAACATTTGCAAACATCAAAAGATAAAACTAGCAAATCATTTTGAAATACCTTTGCTGGACTGTTAGTGAATGACAGTGTAAAGCATCCTGTAAAATCATGGCACCTGGTATAATGTCATTTTCTAGAAAAGTGGTATTTTTGTATCAATTTCCAACGCTGATCGGCTGATCAGCGTTGGAAAAAAACTGGCTTTTTTTCAAATACTGGCCCCAGTCGCACTTGTTTGCAATCGATTACACACCTATGAACGGGTACAAGCCAGCTAGACTGGTTCCCTGACCTTACAACTCCCCAATATATGTAAACTGCTCTGTTTCTTCTTAAATGGAGTCAGGGAACCAGACTACAGGAAAATGATTTCTTGGTTTTTATAGCATTTTCGAACCCAAAACCTCAAAAAAGTCAGTGTAACTATTATTGCTATATATTTCCAACCCCCCAATTCCATCCATTTCTGAAAATTACAGCAAAAGCAAATGATGTATATTCCCTTTAAAGATCCTAAGTGAGATTTCATCTTTCCAAACTTGAAAAATATTAGAGAGATCCAGTTTTATCAACTGGTATCCAAATTTGCATCCAAAACCCCACGCCTAGAATGTTCCATCAGATAAGAGTCAACTTCAACCAAACTGTACTAATTCTGCTAAAACCTAATACAAACATTTGCAGTTATTGGATGGAATATGGATAGCAGAGTCCAGTATACAAATATTGAATGCTTCGAGTGGTGTAGTAAAACTAGCCTCCCGAGGTGATCCATGGACATTAGAATGGTCCATGGATCACCGAGGGAGGCTAGTTTTACTTTACCACGAGATAAAAGCATTCAATATTTGTTTTATAACACTTCACCCACAGATTCTGCTTGATTTTAATATTTTAAATTATTTAAATCTGAACACAGTTGAAAAAAACTTCATTTTCAATACAAAATTGGTGGAAAATGTATTTCTCTCTTCCAAACTACCCCTTCACGAAATGTATGAACCCAAGTCTGCGACGCGCTGTCTTTGGAACAATACGTGCAACGCGCACACCAGCATCCATTTGCACACAAATACCGCGCCGTGGAAATAGTACTTTGGTTGCTACGGGTATAGTACTTTTGACCGTGCACAGAAAGATAGCAAAATTAGAAAGTAACATGTGACTCGCTCTCGGCCAGTCAAGACACAGAATCTGTGGGTGAGGTGTTATAATAACCATTGCTTCATGTTAGGCTTGAGTTGATGTTCCAATTTTTTTCAAAGATTTGAGAAGAATGTGTCATTGGTTTTACATGTACGTTACTGCCTGTTTTTGAAGTTTAGCAAACTTGGAATTTCGAAGCAAATTTACTTGAGGTTATAGATGGAATACTGCTGTCAAATTCAGTGGTGTGAACGCAGTGAGCGATAAGTAATATGCATAATAGAACTAGTGGACAGGCATGGGCTGAATGCAACTCAAAATGTGATATCACAAAATGTGACTTCACAAAATTTCATCAACGGAAGAAAGTTGAGTTCGTCGGATTGACTGATTAAAAGTGCAACCATTCCTCCATTGACCATTTTCTGTGATTTACTTTTAGGTGGAGCAACAGGTGGGAGTCGGGGGTCGGGCTCAGGGTCTGGAGGTCGAGCACGCTCAGATCCATCCCAGACAAACACGACTGGTTCCCACCAGGGTGGTTCCCATCATGCCTCCCAGCACACCGCCGCAGGTAGCGGCACGATGGATTATGAGCCCTCTGCAACTCACGGTGCCGGCACGGCCGCGGCGTCGCAAACCTGGGGTTCCGGAGATGGCAACTCCATCACCGCCAGGCCAAACAACAGTGCACACGGACACTTTCACGGGGGGTACCACTCCCACGGACACTCGCGTAAGCACCACCCGCACCATGCGTCCCCTTCCAGTACAGGTGGGGTCACACAAAACACCATCGTAGTCCCCCAGCCGTCGCAAAATCCCGTCACGAACTTGTCTTCCGGTGCGCCAGCGCATGCGCACTACAACGCCTCGGACGCTACAACAGGGTCTGGCTATGTGTACCACGGACAGTTGGATTGTACCCAGAGCGGATCCATGAATATGCAATTAGCCGGTTACGGGGGGAACACCCACTCGTTACTAGGGAGCCATGCCCACACGACGACGTCTGGCAGTAACCCCCATATACATGGACCGAGTGCAACGAACGCTAATATAAATTATGCAGCGGCTGTGGGGACGGCACCCTATGGGTACTCGATAACAGCGCAAGCCTCTGTGAACCCAGTTCTAGTGACGACACAACCAACAAGACAGGGTGACGAGTCACCAATGGTGGGCGTGGTACAACAAAGCCCCGTTGTGAGCCACTAACCTCTGTCAATATTTGTAGATTACTTATTTTAGCTAGAGAGCATTGTAGATAAGTGTTTTTTTTAACTGCACCGTTTTTAATGAGGTTCTTCTTGGGCCCCGTGTTGCAACGGTGAAACCACCCCCCATGCAAAGAATGCAGTGACCCCAAAAATGCTTGATGAAGTACATACTGTACTCTTCCATTAACCTGAAGGGGGGAGGACTTGCTTCTCATACATGGAAAATTGGGTCCTGCAATTGATGTGTGATACCTACCCAACTGATGAATGCAAAGTCCTCGAGTGTTCCGTGTTGTATCCTCCCTTGGTCTCCACCATTCTTTACAAAGAGGTAGGCTAGCAAGAAAGCTTCAGTTTCTCGTTACCCTCTCTGTGATAGATGTGACACCTGAACAAAATCAACACTGATTGACACTTTCTCTGAGAAATCTTCACTTACCAAAAGGGATTCTCCAGATTCTATCATCGTCTACATCATCATCTTCATCATCACCATCATCATCAGTTGGTTTGGGAGCAGCCAGCTACAGGACTCTTCTAAAAGCATCTATCCCCTACTCCAGTGAGATACAGTTGCTGTGGAAATTTCCTCCTGAATCTGTTGAGTGGTTTATCTACAGCCCTACATGTAGTTAAAAAAAAATGAGGGTTTCTTCTACTTACATTGTACTTTGCCCCTGCTTGTGTGTTCTTCCGGCTCCTACCTTTAAGAAATAGCTCACAGTGTTCTAAAATATGTTGTACCAGGAGCTGCTTAGTGCTATGGACTCTGTTCACAAGTACCCCTCAACAATTACAAAGGGAGCCTTGGAGGTCACTGGGAGGGACATTCAAATGAATTGACCTATCGCGGTAGAATCGTGTTAGAATCACGTCAATGCAGCTTGTGAAATATTGTCCAATTACATGATATACAAATGGACGCGGAACGCGCAAAATCTGGAACAAACAAAAAGTAGTGTACACAAACTCCATAGGGTTGCCTAAGGGGTGTGGCTAACTCGCAAACGGCGTTAGGTCCATTGCCGATAATGCTTGACGCTCATGCGAAGATACTATGGGTGTTTTTTGTGCACATTCAGAATACAATTAGTCAGGTACTTCGTGCCATATGGGCACGAGCCAATACACGCATGAGCCAGTATGTTCACATAGTGATTCCCTCCTATGGGGACTTTCAAAAGTGGTCACAAACTGCAATCTACTGTTCATGCACAGAGTGGATTGCAAAGGAATTACATGTAGCACCGTTAATTTCAGCATGAACAGTATACACATCAAGCACACTAACCCAGCGGCAATATTTGCTCAAAAAGTAGTAATCCATTAACCCTCCTGCTATTTAAACAGTCACAGGCAGTCAAAATGTCTATCCACTTCCCCTGCTGTACCTTTAACACAGGCTAGTCACCAGCAGTCAGATCATTATGTCAAGCAAGCACTGTGACTAGTCAAATTCAGTCAACAGACCATGAACAGACAAAGCGGGCATGTTATGGGCCCAGCTGGCTTATCGATTACCCACAGTCAAAACAAAGCTGTATCGAGTTACATCGACAGTCACAGCCAGTCAATCCTGCTTCATGTAGGCTGGGAATTCTTACCTCTTGAAAACAGTCACTTGATTCGCTTTGACTGAAAGGACTAGTTGCCACAGAATGCTTGTTTGCATTGGAGGGTTAATGGGAATATCCATGCACTCTGAAGCGGTAGAAAAGTCGAGGCTCTGAAATACTTGTTAGAGTCCCAGTTGCTGTATTATTAGTAAATCAAGTTTTCTGCATAGTACCTTCATGAAAATTCAGGAGGATATTTCCAATATTTTGTGGACCCCAATGCACAGTATGTAAAATTGCAAAATTAAAAAAATATGTTCAACTGTACCGAGCTAACAAAAAAAATTAAAAACCACAAGTGTACTTTTTTTTTCTTCAAATACCACTTGAGCAAACACCTTACTACATGTTGCCATAGTAAACAGAACCATACACCTCCCTCCCTTAAACACAATTAAAGTTGTGTGTCGATTTAGAAAGATGAAATTGGCAAGGTTTTGCAATTAGGTTGCGATTGCGAATGAAAGTAGCTAGCCAATCAGTGATCACTAGCAGGGCAATAAGTAGCCAATCATAAGCTCACATTTTATAAGCAGGTTTGTGATTGGCCATTGCTGGCAGTTAACAAGCTGGTTATTGGCCACTAGTAACCAATCAGTGAGTCTGTTTCAAGGCAGTTACAGGTAATTACTCCTTGGGTCTGTTTTGGAATTGGAAACCTTGTATTTTTGTTTCTTTTTTATACTAAAGAGATTCTTTCTGAAATGCTTAATGTTTACTCTTTTTATGTTGGTACCTTTTCCCCTTTCTAAATTTGAGTTAGCAATGTGCAGCCAGTTTTGGCACAAGTTGGGGCTTCTTCATTTGTTGATTTCTGTCTTTTAACTTTTATCTTTTTTTTTAAACTGTTAACTGAAATGCTGGATGAAAATGTACGTCTGCATGCTATTAATAGACCTGACCTAAATTTGAACCCAAATTTCACATCCTAACCACGCTATGGTAGTATTTCAAGTGCGTCCTGCTGTTGTAGAATACCGGTACTTTGAAAGAAGTCAAAGAAGTTTCAAAACTTGAAGGAAAAAATCCTGTTTTTTCCCCATCCAAACAACTTTCCCTAACCCAAACCAAATTGTAGTGAGCTCCCTGTTCTGGTATGGTTTCTGTACTGTCCACATCACAACAGTGTGTTTTTATTCACTTGCAAATGGCATTATGGGAAGAGTGCAAAGGATCATGGGTACAGTGTATCACTGTCACCTTTTCGTTATGTTTATGTTGTTGGTGTTTTTTTTTTAATTATGGGGCACCAGGATTGGTCATTGGTGTCGAAGAATGCATTGTGATTGGTCGGTTTCGGTTGTGCTTCATTTGCATTTGACGATTATGTGCAAGTTTGTACAGTTGAAACAAAACATTGGAAATGTACAGTAGTAATGTGGGTGTTTTTCTGAAATCTTCCACAGGCAATTATGTGGTGGAATATGTACGCACGACACTGTTAACGGTGCATGTTAGTACCAGGGGAGACAATGTATTAACTACATCGACTCCACACGTGATTCCGCACTATGATAATGCATTTTATACACATGGAATTATTAGAGGAATGTAAAATTGTTAAGCGAAGTAATGAGTGTAATCAACAAAACGTATCCCGGTTGAGGCATAAATGGAGCTGGTCTAAAAGTGAATAGGATTTTTTGGCTTTGACAAATTAAAAGCTGGGCAGAATATATATTGGGAACCAGCCAAATCTGCATCCAAGGTTTACATTTTTGGTTGGTACCTATCATGGAGAGTTGTAATCAAGCTAATAACAGGTCAGCGACAAGTCAAATCACAAGTCGGTAACAACTTTATTTATTTATTTAATACTTATTTTAAGTGGGTAGCCCATTCAGTGGAATCCACTGATCTCCCGTAAATAGAAGGCAAATGCACAATGTGAAGAAATTACAGTTTTAGACGTGGGAGGAAAAGCCCAGAAGGTTGTTGTTGAAAACCAACGGAATCAGGCAGGGACTGGAAACTCAATCCAGGCAGGAATCGAACCCGGGTCACAGCGGTAGAAGGCAAGGAAAGTACCGCTACGCCAACCTGACAAGTAACAGGGGAAGATAACGATAAAGAAAGTTGTAAAAACACAGTTTGGTTGGATGGCATGTCATTCGACTTGAGACGGGATGACTTGTGATCGATCATCGACTTGACCCCGAACTGATTGGTCAAATCAACTGCCCCCAAGAAAAGAAAAGTTCATATGTCGTCAAGCATAGCATTGTAAACTCAAAGAACATTAACCCTAAACTTACCAACTCTATACAATTCCATCCCCCATTATGGGGGATTTTGGCAGATAAGCCAAATGTGCTCCGCCCCCGAAGCCAGTTCGGTTTTTCAGCTGCGCATGCGCACAATGATATGGGTTACGGGTCATTCGGGATAATCGAATGCTCATCGAAGGCGCTGCACGCGCACGGAGACGTGCGCACAACACTCGCATGTTATTAATTACAAGCAGAATGGGCATCCGCGTAACATCGCGCATCAGCGCGTCGGCGATTTTATCCCAAATGACCTTTGACATGGACTACTTCATCGAGATACCGAACTAGCTTAGGCCGTGTCCGAAACGGGCTTCAGAGCTACGGCTACGTCTATTGTCTGCGCGTTCTCACGCATTTTCAATGGGCGTGGACCTAGACCTAGCTCTAGACAGTTGATTCGGATGCAGCCTCATAATCAACCCATAGAACCTTGTTAGTCTGGTGCTGGTTCTAATTTTCCCTATTTGGTTACCCAATGCACATGCACACTCAGCGGTGTACTTAAATATATAACAGTGTGTGTAGTGCTGGCAACTAGATGTTCGCTGTTTACCCAAACCAGACGTCTTGGTACCAAATACCCACTTATTCATCTGAAGACGCCATGTTTATGTAATAGCAATTTGCATGATACATGTATATCACAGACCTGTCCATTATTCATGTCATTAATTTGCAATATCTTCCTAATGTTGTAATTTTTTCAGCTTCCTTGTTTTTCATGAAAAACACCCGAACATTTGGCATTGTATTAGAGTCATTCTATAAATTTGGGGTCCAAAAGTGTGACATTTTGGCGTCCGTGTTACACCCGACCTGTGTGTAATTTGACATGGAAATATCATTGAAATTGACTTCAAATTATTTAAAATTGTTTAGCAGGTAATTTGCATTACATAATCACACTTTGAGGTAGAAGGCATGACAAAAATGTGTTCTAAATTTACAAAATCTGATGACAGATGTAACAGGGACACCAAAACAAATTGGACCCTGAATTTATCAAAATACCCATTAACTAAACCCTGTCTGAAAAAAAATAGTTTCCCCCGCATAGGAAGCCACACAGATTGTAACTACTGTACAATGTTCTGTACACGTATTGCTAAATCTCACCTATTTTAATTACCATAGTGACATTTTACACCAATGCAGTATTACTGTATTACGATTACCATAAATAGTAGCCTAATTTTTTTGTTCTACAAAAGCCTGTCGTTACCATTAATTTTACTACTCAGACTTATTAAACAAACAGATTAACCAATAACTATTAAATCTAAATCAAGCCTCTTTACTACTAAAATCCCCACCACAGACAGTTTTGTAATGGCCTTTTTAAAAATGAAACCGGACTTTTTTAAAATTGAATTTTTAAATTGAATTTTTTAATGATTATAGTTTTAAGCTAGGACTGTCTCATTTTTATTTCAAAATTTAATCATGGAATTTGAATGAAACAAATGAGCAATGAAAATGATTTTAAAAGAATCTGTTCCAGTTCTTCTTACTTGTTTATGTTATTTTATTTTCCAATAAATATTGTTCTCACATTTCTTTAATCCACGGTCTATAATAATTACCCCCATTGAATTTTCTTTTAATCAATCGTGCCTAACTTTCAGTAATTATTTTTTGAAACCTCTCTTTACTGGAACCGATTATATAATTTAATAAGCTTAAAAATGGCATTTCCCTAGATTGATGTTTAGACCTCACACAATTTCCATCAAAATCCAATAAAGAAGTTTTTTAGCTGGAATGTTTGAATGATTTTTTTTTACACAACATTTTAGTAAGGAAAGTCCACATCAGTGATTATAGTCTGTGCTCGATTTTAATTACTGTCTCCTCACGTTTCAGATTTTTCTTTGGTTTTATTTTTAAACCAAGTAATTTTAACCCTCCGAGTAATGAGTAAAGTGCATAAAGTTGTCTATAATTAAAAAAAAAACTGAGCTGTATCTAACTTCAATGAAACATGTTCCTTTTTCCTTTTTTGTTTTTTTAGAATTTGCTGGTATAATTTTGTTACACCATTGAAAACTTTGTTGAAGCTTATCTTTGGTTACGAGCCAGAATATGTGCAGCATTTATGTTATCATATCCCAGTTATAATTTTTTTCCCTCAGCAGAGATGTGTAGCACAGAATCAAAACTCAGAATACCAAAAAAAGATCTAGCACAGAACATAATTCCTCATTTTTAGTTTTTTTTTTTAGCTTGTTTCTTTTTCCTGATTGTTTTACTAGCATTATGTATTCATAAATCATTTTAAAGTTGTCTCAATGAAGATTTTACAACCCCTATAAATACAATTGTCAACCCTATTGAAGAGAATAATCACCATTCAGACTTTTTTGCAGATCTTCAAATTTAAGAAAAATTATGGCCTAAAACAAAACAAGAGATGCAATTTTTATGCGCTGTATTATATCAGTATATGGGAAAAAGATGCCAAAAAATTGTGAAATTGATGGGTCTGTGTGTAGAAATAGATGAATAATTATTTGTAAAGTAAATTAGTCCTACAAAATTGACCTCACACTTGTAAATAGGTAATTATGACCACTGTGGTCCGTTAATAAAAACAAAATGGCGAGGGCTGCGCCCCTTGTGATTTTTAAAAAGCCAAGCATCTGACTTACTTTGTTGATGTTTTAAGTGTGTTTTGTGTCTATAATTGAAGCACTGCAATACATATTCGCCCTGAAAGGCTAAAATCCACTTACGGTTCATGGGCCAACATTCTGGCAAATTTTGGGTACGGTGCTGTAACAGCTGTTAACAACATGGAGGTTTCTACCTAAATTACATCAATTTTGCTCATGAATATGGAAATTCACATTCATTAGCATAATTGTTATAGTTCGAAAGGCACCAAAATGACCTTTAAATGGAAAAATGAACATTGAAAATAGGGTCAAATGGGACACAAAGGCGCATTCATTAGCATAATTGTTATAGTTCGAAAGGCACCAAAATGACCTTTAAATGGAAAAATGAACAATGGGACACAAAGATATACAAGGACTGCATTAACAAATACATTACGTTACAAAGGGCAAAAGTAACACAAACGAGAAAAATCTATATTTTTGAAAGAGCACAATTTTTTTTATCTGAACAGGGAGTGTCTTAATCTTTCATGCAGTGCAGCATGTTTCATGTAGGCCCTATACAGTTAGAAGTTAAGAAGTTTACGATCAGGACAGTAATAAAATGATTTGAAAGAAAATGTAGCCCTTCAAAAATCATGTCATTGCTGATATCCATGACCCAGACCCGAGACAGAAACAAAGAATAAAGTGAAAACTTACCTGCGTTACTTACTAGCTTGTTGGAGGAAAAATCATGTCCGAAACTAGTGAGAATGAAACTTTCATTCTTTCACTTTCATTGAAAGTGAAGAAAGCACACCGCATGTCATGTGGTGGCAGCTAATTACATGGAAAGCATGACAATACGCGCAATGAGTACAAAAAAAGCTTGGCTGTACGCGGCTACGCGCGGGTTTTTTTTTACACGCAAAAATGCAAAACGTCTGCCAATAGGCCTACAGAGAAATGAAATGAAAATGACAAAACACCCTTCATTTGGTGTTTTGGAGATAAATGGTAACATTTAATTTACGTGACTGCTAAAGTTTCAATTTCATACGCACAATGATGAAAAAAATAATGAGCTGTGCGCGCGATTTTACGCGCACAGTGCAAAAACGTCTGCCAATTAGGGCTACGTGCATTGGCAGAGAAATGATGAGAAAAGCACACCCTTCGTTTGGTGGTTATGTAAATAAATAATAGAGATTAATGGTAAAAATGACAGCTTAAGTTTCATTGGCCATGATATTTTTGTACGCGCAATGATGAATAAATAATGAGCTGTGCGCGTAAACGCGCACAATGTAAAAACGTCTGCCAATAAGGGCTACGTACATTGGTAGAAAAATGATGAGAAAAGAACACCCTTCGCTTTTGTGGTTAGGTAAATAAATAATGGAGATTAATGGTAAAAATGACAGCTTAAGTTTCATTGGCCATGATATTTTTGTACGCGCAATGATGAATAAATAATGAGCCGGCCGTGCGCGCGATTTTACGCAAACAATGCAAACACGTCTGCCAAGTGTACGTCCACAGTATCGGGCGGAGAAATAAAAAGGAATTTGATAAAAAGTACACCGTCGTTTAATGGTAGATAAATAAAGATCAATGGTACAATGTGACAGCTAAAGTTTCATTGGAAACCATGACATTTTAAACGCGCAATGATGAATAAATAATGAGCTGTGCGCACGGTAAATTTTAATTTTACCCAATGCAAAAACGTCTGCAAGGTAGGCCAGTGCTAGTGGCAGAGGAATGAAATGAATAATGGGAAACTGAGCACACCCTTCGCCTGGTGGTTAGGTTAATAAATGATGGAGATCAATGGTAAAATGTGACAGCTAAAGTTTTATAGGCCTACGCGCATAGATGAATAAATAATGAGCTGTGCGCGCAGTTTTTTCTTCACGCAAAGCAATTCAAAAACGTTTGCCAACAAAGTTCGTGTGCATACGCACTTAAACAGAAATGTGTAGCTCAACAAACAGACAACCCGACCGACGGACGGAGTGACAGAAACGGCCGAGCAATTAACAATCTGAACTATTTCATGTTAGATAATATATATGTTAAATAAAAACTGCCACCGAATTATCGACCACAAAATGTATTCAAGTTTTTTGGTGGGCTGTTATGATTTTTGTTTGATTTGATTTTAAAACAAATTGTTGGATGTTCTTTTTTTTTTTTTTTTTTTTTTTACGTCTGACCACGGTCAGACTGTTTTGATCACGGACAAACATGAAATAGCATTGCCTACTTTCCCCATTTGTAGTCTGGTTCCGCCGTATGTAAAAGAAACGCATGCCAATTTATGAGCGGAGATCAGATGCCAGACGTCCGAGGCACATGACAAACATGATAAATTTTTCGTCCGGTTGGTGGATTTAATCCAATTTTGCTCTCAAACCTGACGTCGGCTTTGAAGTTTGTGGTGAATTCACCAGAATGGTCAGCCTTGGAGATGGAAGGAACGGTGGGAGACAAGAAGGGGTGAATACATGTTTTTTTCAACCTTTGCTTTAGGCCTAAAAGAATAGTGAGTGTTGTGGTTTTGCATGCCAGTGCACATGGTGCAGTGGCCGGCCGCGCCGCGGGCGCCAGTGCATGCAGTGGTGCAGAGTACGAGTACCAGTGCAGATGGGGGAGGGGGGGGGGGGGGGTACAGTCAGCTCGACCATTTGCCAACTAGAGTCAACTCGGGGAGTAATTGCAGAATACCCCGACACCTTGGGTGTGTTCAAAGCCCATACAGACGTACGGCGCGGCGCGGATCGGAGCACGTATTATTACACGAAACAGTCGCTGATAAAGCGCGACTTGTTTTTCTTCGCGATCGAGCAACGACGGTGACGTCTTGTCAGACGCCCTCAGCGACAAGCTAATTCAAGAACTGAACCTCCATGCAAACACATTGAACTGTAAGTTTTCAGACTATTTTCCTGTTTTTTTCCAAAATGTTCGCTGTTTGGGAACAATATAAGGGGTCTCATGGAATGTCAAGAATGTATAGATCCATCCAGGATAACTGTCTCTCTCATTTGTAATCTCTTTACCGGTTTTTTGGGGTCTTTTTGTCCTCGCGTGGGTTTTTCACTATGCTACTGTGATGGTGCTACCAAAGTATGGTGAATCGGTGGAGCGCTAGTATGGAGGGGTACCCGTAATTCAGCGCTCCACTCAGTAGAGCTACCTAGAACTATGACATGAGGCTCCACGTAGCATGCGTAGTGGAGCCTCATACTAGTCATAGATTAAGAACCCCGCAAAATCGTTTTCAGCACTAAGTCAAAACACTAATTAAGTACAAAAACGTCCATCAAAATGCAAACATTTCCCACAGAACCGCTGCACAGTTTGCCCCCAAACTCCGTTCTACATCTCATGACATACTCACGTAATATGCACAGAACAAACATCGCTGGATTTTGTCTTTTTTTTGCTAAAATGATGAAAAATATGCCCTTTCCGCGCTGAGCCAACCTGACACTTGAAACGTGCACGCATCTGATCCAGCGATGATTTTTCGGTTCGCTCGAAAATGGTGCTGGCCAAATATCCACTGGCGGCCTTGGTGTATCGACGTTGTTTTTTTTCTATTCAAAGAAGGCTGTCATTGTCTTTATCTACAGGGGTTTTTCTTCAACGAGCGTGAGCCGAGCATTGTACAGTCTCCTGAAGAAGATGAACTGTTGATAACACAGCATCTACAGGCAGAGGAGGAGCCAAATTATAAGCAATGCAACACCGTATGGGTGGCGGTTTGCCAAATGATATTAATTGTAAGTTGGAACTTAAATATACATAATTTGCAAACATCAAAAAAAAAAAAAAAAAAACTATTATGAAATACGTTACTTGAATGATAGTCTTCAGCATCCCGTGAAATCATGGCACCGGGTGTGCTGTCATTTTCAAGAAAAGTGCAAGTTTTGTATCCATATCCAACGATGGTTGGCCGACACAAAAAGGTTTTTTTCTTTTCAAATGCTGCCTCCGATTTACCACATTTAGTTATAAATTGTAAACATCGGTTTTCTGATTGCCTATACCACACAGATTCCAAAAATGTATAGGTTTGCAAATCTCCCAAAAAAGTTAACGAAGTTCAATATCTGGACATAGTGAACTTGACTATTAGTCCACATTTTGTTTATGATTGTACACATCTGTGAATGTTGGTTGGGACGTGTGATCAACTACTGACCAATTAGATGACAGCTGCTGTATTAAAAAAAAAAACAATGAATGCTTCACCTTCGGAACATTATCTTCTATCTGTCACTTTTTGAAATTATTCATACCATTGCAATCATAAACATTCATTGTTTGTGTAGTGTTGATGCCCCCTCAGAAAGGGTCAACATCTATGGCAGAACACATGTAGCTCAGTTGGTACAGCGCCAGTGAGGTACTTCAGCGGTCAAAACTTCACGTCCAGCTTCAGTCAATGTCTTTTTGCACTGATTACAAATGAACCAAGTCAGATACTTCTGTTGTTGTGTTTGTTGAAAATGATTAGGTTTTTGTGTGAAATTTAAGGGGAAAATACAACATTTGCAAACATCAAAAAATAAAACTACCAAATCATTTTGAAATACCTTGCTGGACTGTTAGTGAATGACAATGTAAAGCATCCTGTAAAATCATGGCACCTGGTATACTGTCAATTTTAAGAAAAGTGGTATTTTTGTATCAATTTCCAACGCTGATCGGCCGATCAGCGTTGGAAAAAACTGGCTTTTTTCAAATACTGGCCCCAGTTGACCATCGCACTTGTTTGCAATCGATTACACACCTATGAAAGGGTACAAGCCAGCTAGACTGGTTCCCTGACCTTACAATTCCCCAATATATGTAAACTGCTCTGTTTCTTCTTAAATGGAGTCAGGGAACCAGACTACAGGAAAATGATTGTTTTTCTTGGTTTTTATAGCATTTTCGAACCCAAAACCTCAAAAAAGTCAGTGTAACTATATTTGCTATATATTTCCAACCCCCCAATTCCATCCATTTCTGAAAATTACAGCAAAAGCAAATGATGTATATTCCCTTTAACCCTTACTCTCTGAGGGTAGTTTACTGCATGTCAGTTGGTTATGCCAATGCCCTCCAGCTGCAGTTAATTGGAGGATAAACTATCTTGACTGTGAAGGCTCCAATTGGCAGGAGTTGGAGGCCCTGGAGGGTGCCTGATACTGACCAGCTGGGGGCACTCACTTTGTTATCAGAGGACTCTCATTGTTCTCTGTGGCATGTATTGGAGTGCCTGTCCAGTTACCCTTGAAATGACATGGCAGATATTGGAGGGCCATGCAAAAAACATAGGAGATTTTCTTGAGGCACATATTGGCATGCGTTGGAGGGTCTAGTAGGGTAAGGGTTAAATTGCAAGTTTCACAATACAAACTGCAATTATCTTTTTTTTTCCCCTTACTACCACAGATTGTTTACTTATCTGCGTCCGTCGTCCTGCCCTACGGAATCGAACCCAAAATCAGCCACAATTCGACGGAGGTACAGTTGGAGGAATCCTTTACCTACATTGCATTCAGCCAGCCATGTGTCTGGCTGCTCCTTCTGGTTGCTGACCGATACCTCCAGTACAAGCACACACTGCTGAGACGACACGGGTACCTAGACTTCACACAGAAGACCAGATACCTGCGCAGAACGGCCGAGTTTATGTTTTCGCTCGGTAACTTGCCCAAATCTTTGAAATGTTTGGAATGAATATTTCACTTTAAAGGGAAGATACAACCTTTGCAAACATCAAAAAACAAAATTATCAAATTATCACAACATACCTTAATGGATTGTAGGGGATGACAGTTTAAAGCATCCTGTAAAATTGTGGTTTCTGGTGTGCTGACATTTTAAGGTCAGTCTTTTTTCAAAAACTGCTCCTAATTTTTCTTCTTTAGTTGTTCCGCATTTTCTTTGCAATTTATTACACACCTGTGATTCTCTGACTTTACATTTCCTCAAAGTCTATAAATTGCTCTGTTTCATCTTAAGTGGGGTCAGGGAACCAGACTATACAAGAATACGATCGGTTTTCTTGTTTTTTTTCCCAGCATCTACAAGCCCAAAAGGTGAAACAAGTCATTTTAGCAATATTTGCTATAACATACTAATCCTCCAAATCCATTTATTTCTGAAAATTGCAGCAAAAGCAAATGTTGCACATTCCCTTTAAAACACCTGTGTATTTATGTGTGATGTCACTAGTGTATCAACTTCATGAGTCATAAATTATATTGTAGAAATTGCAATTAAGATTAAAACTCATTGGTGCAGCAGTGTACAAATTATGAATGTTTGTTGGTGCAATGGTAAGAATAATTTTACAAGGTGACAGATGGAATGTTCCATGCCGGGAGGTGAAGCCGAGTGGAGTGGAACATTTCATTTGTCACTGAATGAAGTAAATGGCACGAATGTGAAACACTCATTATTTGATTTCTACAACGCCTGATTAACCCTAACTGCCCTGAATCCTCCAAAATCCTTTTTGCAAATTGGAGGAATTTGCAGGATTGAGGTTACATGGCAAAAGTGCGTTGCTGATTTCGGAGTATGCACTGTGTCAAGGTCTTGGGCCGGACCTTGTGTTGTTTATGCTCAGCCGTGCATAAATTTAGTCCTTGATTATACTTGACATCATCCGCACTGCTCCAGGATGTCACTGCCTCTGCCTCAACCTATTGACAGTCATAGCCGGAGGATTTTGCAGGATTCAGGCAGTGGTCACCCTCCATGGACCATATTCAAGAAATAACGGAGGAATTTGCAGGATTGAGGCTATATGCTATTTTTCCATGAGGCCAATTGGAGGATTTTGCAGGATTGAGGCTACATCCTAGCAAAAAGGCATAGGGAGTTAGGGTTAAAACTAGTTGTACAAAGTACAGCTGCCATATGCGTATGTGAGTCCATGTACATGCAGAGTGCGATCGCAGGGTCAGGTCATTGACGACATGTAGACAGTTGCCCAAACAGTCTTCAAGTTGAAGTCGAATACGCTTCTGACGCCATGTTTGTAGAAGTCATTCCTTAACCCTTACCCTACTAGACCCTCCAACGCATGCCAATATGTGCCTCAAGAAAATCTCCTATGTTTTTTGCATGGCCCTCCAATATCTGCCATGTCATTTCAAGGGTAACTGGACAGGCACTCCAATACATGCCACAGAGAACAATGAGAGTCCTCTGATAACAAAGTGAGTGCCCCCAGCTGGTCAGTATCAGGCACCCTCCAGGGCCTCCAACTCCTGCCAATTGGAGCCTTCACTGTTAAATAAAACTTATCTGCCAATAAACTGCAGCTGGAGGGCATTGGCATAACCAACTGACATGCAGTAAACTACCCTCAGAGAGTAAGGGTTAAAGAGGTTGTGGATTGCTCGAAGACATTTCCGTCATTTTTCGGGTATATGTAGCCTAAGGTGTGATGAAATAAAAACGACTATTGTTTCTGTCATAAAATGAGTACAAAAGGTACTTTTGAGAGCTGTTTTTCAAGTCCTGTCATGCCTGTTTCGACCCGAACGTGCAATTTGTGTAAAAGTCGTCGTTGCGGGCAGCAAACAAAAAAACAGTAAATCGTGACGTAATAAACAGGACTCCCGATGCAGAGTAGCATAAACGAGTCCTGTTTATTACGTCACAATTTACTGTGTTATGTTTGCTGCCCGCAACGACGACTTTTACACAAATTGCACGTTTGGGTCGAAACAGGACCTGAAAAATAGCTCTCAAAAGTACCCTTTGTACTCATTTCATGACAGAAACAATAGTCATTTTTGTTTCATCACACCTTAGGCTGCATATTCCCAAAAAATGACAGAAATGTCTTCGAGCATTCCACAACCTCTTTAAATCTCCAATTTCAATACGATTTTGCACACCCCCTAGGGAGTTAGGGTTAATCGATTTATCACGATTCTCCTGATCCTCGCTCTTTAATCACATTTTATGGGTTTGAATATTTTCATATATGTCTTGCAGGTAATGCTACCATGTTGGTTGTCGTCATGTTACGTTACACGATCATGACCCAGATGAACATCATTAGGCCAGTTGGGACGACTTCAATTCACGGCGTCAACTATCAAGAAATGATCATCGGCATCGAGTCAATAATAGCCCTGTTCTGCTGTGGCAGATACGCAAGTAAGGGCTCGTCTCAATTCAAATCCGGGACGAGTTCCGGACAAGTTCCGGACATTGTATTGGTTTATAAGTTGCAGGATTCTGAACAACTTCCCCACAATCTTCCTGCAGTGAAGTTTTCAGTACTAATGAGTCAAGCAGTCGCTAATGAAAATTTCCCCGGAACATGCCAGGGACATGCCAGGAGCAAGTAAGGGCTCGTCTCAATTCATATCTGGGACGAGTTCCGGACAAGTTCCGGACATTGTATCGGATGTAAGAAATTGCAGGATTCTGAACAACTTCCCCGCAATCTTCCTGCAGTGAAGTTATCAGTATTGATGAGTCAAGCAGTTGCTAATGAAAATTTCCCCGGAACATGCCAGGGACATGTCAGGAGCAAGTAAGGGCGCGTCTCAATTCAAATCCGAGACGAGTTCCGGACAAGTTCCGGACATTGTATCGAATATAAGTTGCAGGATTTTGAACAACTTCCCCCGCAATCTTCCTGCAGTGAAGTTATCATTACTGATGAGTCAAGCAGTTGCTAATGAAAATTTTCCCGGAACATGTCGGGGAACATGCCAGGAGCAAGTAAGGGCGCGTCTCAATTCATATCTGGGACGAGTTCCGGACAAGTTCCGGAGATTGTATCGGATATAAGTTGCAGGATTCTGAAAAACTTTCCCGAATCTTCCCACAATGAAGTTATCAGTACTGATGAGTCAAGCAGTTGCTAATGAAAATTTACCCGGAACATGTCCGGGACAAAGTCAGAGCTTCTTATGGACAAAGTGAATGATTCTACCCGCAACCTGTCCGGAACTCGTCCTGAATATGAATTGAGATGGGCCCTAGCAATGACAAAATCCTACCAGTAAGTCGTTCGCATTATTGACAAGTACCCCCTATAGGCCATCAGCCTGGGGGTTTAGTCAGTATCAAACCAGGGCATAAATGATTATTGCGCACATGCACAAGGTATACTGCCTTTAGAGGGGTTACAAGCATTTTGATGGACATTTTGAAAAAAATGGTGAAAACACCCAAAAAGCTGCCACCGCTGCAATGCTATCACATATTTCCCAACTCTGGAGGTGTATACCTTGCCAAAAAATCGCTATGACGATTATTCCCCTCATTTGATACCAGTGGCCAAAAGTTTGGAATGAGGCTAATGGCTTTCTAATGCTGATGAAGATTTATCAGACATTTCAATGCCATTCTGCTCCTCCCCCCGTTCTTTTAGACCCTCCCACAAATTATAGAAAACAATCAACAGATGAAAAGAAGGTTTGGGAAGGATACTTGGGAACATTTTATGAACCGAGACAAGGGAAGACATGTTTTTGGTGATTGACTTGAACACCCTCGTCTGTTTTTTACTTTGAGTGGAGTTATCCGTGAAGACGTTCTCACAATATTTGATGATTCAAGGGTAGTTATAATCCCAGGAAGGCGAGGAGAAGCACTTTCCCCAATCAACAATCTGTTGTTATTTTGTCAGTGACACCACAAAGTAATACTAGACGTCCTGTACTCAACCAAAAATAGTGGGTACTTGGTTCAGTGTTGTTTGTTTTGTTGCCCCAACAAGCATCAAGCATACTCATTAAAACATGTAAATTAAAAAGGACGAAAATCATGAAAACCAATGTAAATTGTTTAAAAAGAAATTGATGAAATCTTGGAACTGGGCTTCTCTGCCACTAGATGCGCCAATTTGGCAAGTTGTTGACTATTTTGACGATATACTAATCACTGTTACTCTTTTGGTGTGTGCTTTGGCAGTGTTAGTTTGCAAGTTCAACAAAGCAAAACTCCCACCGGACGCTGAACATGAAGAGCAGATGATTGCCGTCATGCAACCCAGCACCCACTTGCCAGATATAGGTTATAGGTTAGTATCCCATATCATTGTCCTGGGTTCAATTCCTACCATGCGCTATTACCATGAATAGCAGATGATTGCCGTCATGCAACCCAGCACCCACTTGCCAGAAATAGGTTATAGGTTAGTCTCCCCATAGAGAAAGGACACATTTTCTCTATGGTATCCCATATCATTGTCCTGGGTTCGATTCCTACCATGCACTATTACCATGAAGAGCAGATGATTGCCGTCATGCAACCCAGCACCCACTTGCCAGATATACATTATAGGTTGGTATCCCATATCATTGTCCTGTGTTCAATTACTACCATGCACTATTAGCATGAAGAGCAGGTGATTGCTGTCATGCAACCCAGCACCCACTAGATGTAGGTGAAAGGTTTAAGTATTCCATATCGGGGTCCTGGGTTCAAGTCCAACTATGAGCTATGAGGATGATCGATGAAGAGCGGATGATTGTTGTCATGCAACCCAGCACCCAGTTGCCAGATGTAGGTAATAGGTTAGTATTTCATCTCGTCCCGAGTTCGATTCCCAACATGCGCTATGAGCCTGAAGACGAGTTGATTGTCACCAGGCTTCCTCTCACCCACTTGCAAGATGCATGTATAGGTTTAATATCATTCCGTATCATGGTCCTGGGTTCGATTCCCACAATGTTCTATGAGCATGAAGAGCAGATGATTGAGGTCATGCAACCCAGCACCCACTTGTCAGATAGTCTCGTCCAGGGTTCGATTCCCACTATGAGCTATTAGCATGATCAGCAGATGATTGAGGTCATGCAACCTGGCACCCACTTGCCAGATATAGGTTATAGGGTAGTATTTTGTCTCGTCCAGGGTTCAATTCCCACTATGAGCTATTAGCATGAAGAGCAGATGATTGAGGTCATACATCCCTATACCCACTTACCAGATATAGGTTATAGGTTAGTAGTCAGTTTTGTGGTCCATGGTAAGTGATCTCACTATGTGCTTTGAAAATGAGCAGATGATTGCTGTCATGCAACCCAGCCCTGATTGCTAGATACGGACTCGAGCACAAGTACCCCCTCAATGGTACGGAAGGGAGGGTTCAGGTGAGACCACTGGGAGAGACATTTGAACACACTGCCAATGACGCCTGATGCTCATGCAAAGTTGCTATGGCGTTGTGCACATTCAGAATAGAATCGGTCATGCGAACTTTACGGTTATAGGTTTACGGTTATGTATAGACAAATCCAGCTCGGCTATTTTCTGCATTGGCACCAGGCTTGCTAAGGTGGCGCTCAGGTAGTACACATGCACTTTGGGCTCCTACCAATTGGAATGCCAAAATGCGTGTGCGCCTCGTCGTTTAATATGCGTGCAGCATGCGCGTGAGCATGACACCACCATAGTGAAAGCCTCTAATTCTGGTCGCCGGATTCCACTATAGCTTATGAACTCATGAGGCATTGACCCAGGGCCATCTGCGGATTAGTAAAGAAAAACAAAAAAATGTGGATCCTTAAGAAACCTTCTAGCCTCTCACAGTTAAGCGCATCCTGTTGTTGATTGTAGGGACAGTCAGTATGTCGATGCACTCCTGGAGCGACAGGCGGACATGATCCGCTACCTGAAGCACCACACGGAGTATCTCAGCAAACGCATCCTGAAGTTGAGGGCGCTCCAAAACGACGGGCGATTAATGGGCAGCGTGCAGGTATAGAACTCGGAAGGGCAAAAAAAAACCCAGCTAAGTGAATTTGGAAAGGTAAACCTTAAAAAGTTGAATTGTACGACTATAAATGATGTGAGAAAAAACTTTAACTTACTTCCTTGTTCATTAATTGAAACAGACCATTATCCTGCCTAAAATAAGCCAATATTTCCCTTTGAACCGACACCAACTAGGTTCAGCAAGATGATACATGTATATCAGCTTGAACCTCGTAAATCTTATTTTTACCATTAGCACTTGTTTTACATTTTTTTACATTGTATTTACTTCTTGGTTTATTGGTGAAACGGTAAGGTGCTAGGATGGCTTAGGCTGGTATAACCCTAACCCTCCGGGGCATTTTGGCTAGAAACCCTGCTACAGCAACGGGCAACACTTGTTGAAAAGACAAGCCTGCCCAGTGCAGAAAGATCCATCAGGTCAAAAGTCTCAAGGCGGAACTGCCTCAGAGTCTGTGGTCAGCGAATGCAGCAGAATATAACTTGTGGCATCCTTCAATGGGATATGAGCTCTCATCGTCTCAGAAGTGGCTGTTCATGCATTGGTGTTTATAGCTGAATGCACAAAGTCCGACAGACTTTTAAACCTGATGCGCTGTGTTGCAGTCTTGCGGGGCAACAGGCAGGGCGGTTTTGGGCAGTACAGGGATTAATGGGTTGAATCAATTATTTGGTGCTCTAAACTGTATCATCCCTGAAATTTTCTAAATCCACATTTGGGATTTGTTGGGATTTTTGACGAATTTGGGACCGTAAACCCAAGGCACTATTACTTGACAGGAGGCTTGATCCAACCTTGCAGAGTGCAACGAATTGGACATTTGTTTTCTGTGTTGATTTTTTTCCAGATTTATTATTTGGATGACTTTCCATTTTTGATAAAAGGTAAAAGATTATGCCGAACAGGGTTTCGCCGGAGTAGTAAAACGTGTGTTTGTTTTCTCAGTTTGTTCACAGTAATGATGTTTGGGAAAATGAGTCGCCCTCAAAAAAAATAATAATGATAATAAAACAAAAATAAAACTACAAAGGCGGTATTATTGAGAATGGAGGGTAGAACATGTAAGGCTCTTCATATCCTGATATTGTATGTACAAAACTACAAAATTGTGAAACATCTGTAATAAAAATAAGACAAAGTAAGTCTAGTAAAGCTGTTGCCAGAGGGCACAAAATTCTTTTCAATTCTTTTCAAACGTTTGTAGAATAAGTTGTAGTTGTAATGGAAACGAAACAGTCCACTTTCGCCGTTTGTATGGAGACTTGACTTATTGCCTACACGTGTAACATGAAAGTACATGAGAAAGTGGACCCGGACTAGTTTACATAAAACCATATAAATGCATGCTGAAAGTTTGCCCTTTATAACTTTTAGGTTTTTTTGTTGTAAATGTAGTAGCATCCTTTAAAAAAAAAAAAACCACTGCAGTCTTGCAGTGTGTTAAAACGGTATTGGATGTTTAATGTCTGCCATACTGTGTATGATGTGGCATTACAATGAATTGAATGTAAAGACTTACAGATTTCGTAATTTAACTGGCTTGGTTTAAAAAAAAAAAAAAAACAAGAGTTTGCTGAAACATATGTAGGGCCTGCTCAAAAATAAGCTTAACTTCTTTTTGTATAGCCATATAACTTTTACATCAAATGTTTTGTGTTTTGAGGATTTCATGTCTGTCGTTGGGAAAAGCAGTTGTTTGTCCAAATCTTGTAATGTGATTTATGTGACTTGTGTTTATATGAGTTAATAATATAAAATAAATTATGTAGTACAACTACACGGAGGACAATGTTCTGTCAGATTTTGTTTGTAATTTTATGTTTTTAACCAGTAATGAAAATAAGTTATTAATTTATTGCATGCATAAAACATTGAGGTAGAAATGTTCCATGCATAAAATATATAAACCGGGTGGGCCTTATGCAACACAATTTTCCCCGTATTTACTTTCACCTTTTCCGTTTTTGTTCCGAGAATAAAATGTTCTGCCCTTGCAAAACAGTTGCCTTCTTTGGCGCGCGCGGGGAAACTTTCTGGCCGTTTTTGCAAGCGCGCCCTCCCAACTGCTCGCCTTCGTCCGCGAACAAAAAGTTGGCTCGCGTCCATGAAATGTGTTGTTGTTATTATGATGCGTCACGCGCAGCCTCAAATACTCCATTGTTACATTGTTCGGGCTAAAAATAGTTGTTTACTAATGCCCCTTATATGGCAAGGCCTCGCCATATATGGCAGGGGCGGATCTGACGTCCTGGAAATTATTTACGTGACGCGGCATGGTTACGCAGAATCCCACACACCTGATTGGCTTGCGGTGGGGGTCGAACGTGACGTCACCGCTCTATAAGAATATTCGCTGGCGTTGCTTTTTAGCATTCGCAGCTGGGAACACAACAACAACGGAGACCGATGCAAGAAAAACTGGGACAGGGGATTTTTTCAGTGTTGAAATATCACATTTTGTACCCCCTATTTATAACGTGTTCGGAGTGGATGGTATTCCAAAGGTAACGATTCTAGTAAAGGAGCGTTCACCAGTGTAACTGTACCAGGAAGCGGGAATATTTTAACCACAAATTTCGCAATATTTGTGCGGTCGTCGAACAAAGCAACAACGCATCTCCACAACTTCTCACTTCGTCGTAAATTTGACAACCATGAAGGACGAAATTGCCGCAGCCGTGGTCTTTCTGGCCCGCCTCATCAACCTGAGACGTAACTTCTCGACAGAACAGATGGCGGAATTCTCCGAGAATTTAGTGGCATGTTTGATCGAGAAGTTTCGGAACCACTGGTACGAGGACCAGCCGAGCAAAGGCCAGGCGTTTCGGTGCATCCGTATCGCCCACGACGAACCCAGGGACACGGTGGTGGTTCGTGCAGCCAAGAAAAGCGGTCTTGACTACGACAAAATGAACCTCCCAGCGGACTTCACATTATGGGTGGACCCGCTTGAAGTTGTCTGCAGGTACGTGGACGGTTATTCAGGGCGGGGGAGTTCTTTCTGAACCAAAATCCATTCGTGAAGGCATCGTAAACAATGGATCTATTCTTGTATTGTGTTGTCACAAAGGGTCCGCTGCATGACTAATGAATGCACTGATGTATGCCACTTCGGGAGTCGTTGTTTTCATGGCGCGAAAAAGTCATTGACATCAACTGTTATTCTGTTGTTGACCCACAGTCACCCAGACATTTTCCCAAAACCAAATATGATTTTAGAAGGGAAAAAAAAATACTTAAAACCAAAACTAAATTTTCACAGGCAGACAGGGGACAATTCTTTCAACTTAAAAAATATAATGAAGGAAATTTTGTTTTCTTGCCTAAAATCAAGCAGCCCAACAAAGACAAAGTCATTAAATATTTGTTCACCCCTTTTGTGTTGCAGGTTTGGAGAGAAAGGCACTATCTGCCCGATTGCGTCCTTCCCCAAGAAGCAACAGCCAACACAAGTGAACGATAACGAGGCCCCAACGTCGCAAAGCAGCGACGACAATGGCAATGTGGACTTGAACGCCAACCCAAAGACTGTCATCGATTCCATCTCGGATGTACTCTCGCAAAACGCCAGCACGGCAGTCAATGACAACGCCATGGGAGTGTTCACCACCCATCGAAGGGGGCGGCGAAACCGGACCAAGTACAACCTGGTCCGAAATGCCATCAACACGGAGCAAGACTGGCCCGCCCTCTCGGGCCCCCACAACCAGTACCGCTGGGTCAACAAGGCCCTAGCGGCCAAGGCGTAACCCCTTCCCTCCGCTGACAAACTCGAAAAGAAAAAGAAAAACGCCAAATGGAAATCTTATTAAGATGTTTTTGTTTTTTTATAAAAACTTTCTTTCATGGAATTATTGTGATTTTTAATGTAGCCATTTTCGTCTGTGATCTTTGCCAAAGTCAAAAACGGGTTTGATTGCTGTTTTGACAATGCAATGCATTTTTCTACGTCTACACTCAAAGTGGTGCTCTAGGTGATGTACATAATATATATCATATGTTTTGTAACTTGCATTTTTAATATATGATGTATGTTTTCAGTTAACGACACTTGGACAGCATAACAAAAGGAAGGGCATACCTAACATTCCTGTTACATTGCTCTTATTCTCATAATGCTGATCATGCACAGATAGTCATATGGAACATTGATAACGGCACGGAAATAACTCATCCCAGCCAAAAAAAAATCGATGTGATGTTTGAAAACGTCTTGTCAACTGAATTTTATGTGTTCTTAAAAAAAAAAAGCATGATTGCTACCATATGGTTCAGAAACACCGTTTAGCATCTTGCATCCGCACTTAAGAAAAGTGATGCCAGCAATTTTTTTTTTCTCCACAATAACACAACTTTCCCGGAAACTTCAAACCCTTCAGCAACCTGAAAACTATTTGCAGTGGACCCAGTGCGGATTTCCTCCATTTAACGCAATAACGAAGCAGGTTTCTCCTCTCATACCTCTCCTTGGTTTTCAGGCATGAAACGGCCGTAAATCCACCCAGGGGACAGTGTGACTCATCTTCCAAACTGTCCCACGCCCTGTAACTTTTTTCTTACTCGGATTAATTGTAAGTCAAATTGAATTGGCCAGCTTCCTTATTGCGTTAACCGGGCACTTAAACTCATAGGTAGGCTTCGCTAAAAACCAGGCAGATTTCAAGACCTCACTTAGTCGTGCGCTTAACAAGTAAGCCGATTGTAACTTCCGCACTTATTCAACAAAAACAGTGATGGATCATTTCGCTATATGTTCAGTTGACAAGACGATATCCTTGCGGCTATTTAAGGCCTCAGTTTTCATGGTTCTGCTAATCTTAAACAATTGCATTAAAAAAACCCAATATACCGGTGCTCTCTAGGCTAAAATTAAACAATTGAACAGAAAAAAGCTCCAAACATCAGTAAAACAACAACAGTGTTAACTAGTACTGTAAGTTGTCTTTTTCCCAACCAAAACCTTTCCATGACCAGAAGCTGGTGGTTAGCAGTATAGTCAACTCTCGTTAGTACAAACACTGTTAATACAAGTTGTGGTTGTAACAAACATAAAGCCTTGGTACCTTATGTGCATTTATGTGCACAATGAATGGGACTGATGTTCCTCTTAATACAAAAAAATCTGATATAACAAACAATGTGGCTAGTTTGTATTAACGAGAGTTGACTGTGTATCATGAACTTAACTCTAGATTGCTCTTCGCATTTGTGTGTCGTTGTACACGTCAGCTATGCATTATTCCCTCCATGTCAAAGTTCAGAGGTCAGTTGAACAGTATTTGCTTTTGTAGAGGTCACAATATTTTTAACAGTAACCAAACTTTTCTGTACAGTGAGTTTCTTAAGCGACATCATTCGTGCAATATGAATTTTATATGCTGAGCATTATGTATATTGTGATTGTTTTGTTTTCATTTTGCAAGGAAAATGTGGAAGAAGAAAAAAAAATAATAAAAAAAATGACAAATTAAGAAACTATTGACAGTAATTACTGCAGCAAACATTTTTAAGATCTTGGTTCTGAAATTGATTTTCATATTTTTAACTTTGGCTAATATTTTATTATTTTGGTTTTGACGATAAGTTTTGCTTTTTATCATTTCATTTATTTTTAGCAAAGACCTTGGGAATGTGACTTCATGGTGTACAGGATTTCTGAAGAACTGAAATACCTCTTTAAAAATGTATTTTGTTGACCAAATTGAATTCAGCACACAAAAATGAAAAAAAAAAAAAGATTGACAATATTTTTGGCGTACATGCAAACAATATTGTATTTTTACAATGTATGTAAGAAAACCTGCTTATCATCTTCATATTCCCAAATTCGATAGCATATATTATTTTTTTTTCTTTCAAATTTGACTCTTTTTGACCAGGATTTACCTCACCATGAACCTAAAACAGTCGTCTGCTTGTCAATTAACTTTGTTGAATTCCAGGCGACTGTTTTTCTTTCTATTTTTACTCTTTGTTTCCAAAATTAAAACTTCCTGTTCTTTCCTCGGTAGTTAGAGAAGACCAAATTTTTATGAATTGTTTCATCACATACACACACCATACAGACTAGCAGTACTGGTGTTATAATCAGTTCATTACAACACAAATTGTTCCGGGCCTTACTGCTTTTTTGGCCTTTTTATATAAAAGAGATTTCACCTCGACTGTTTGTAACTTTTTACAGTTTGTATAGAAGACAGAAAATGCAACATTATTTGTTAACTGTGTACAGAAAAACAAAATAAATAGTTAAAAGTTCATGAATGAAAAATGTGGCGCAAATAGTGGCTTGATTCCTTTCAAGGTATTTTTCACATGGCAACTGGAGTTTCGAACATCGAAGTGGAGACTGCAGAGATCTATTTGAACCTTTGGTACCAGACCAAGATGGCGCCGTTTTACCTACGTGTTATGCCCCTACTCACTGTTAAAAAACAGAGCATAAAAACACCCCACATTAGTTTTTTGTTTCTATCAAGTGCATCTACAAAGATTGTACATGACTGTATAGGCCATCAGCCTGGGGGTTTGGTCGGTATCAAATGACGGGAATGATGCTCATGGTGATTTTTGGCAAGGTATGCACCCCTGTACATTGTAGTTGGAAAATATGTGATAGCGTTGCAAAAATTGAAAGTGATAGCACCCAAAAAACTGCCACCGCTCACACTGCAAAGCTATCACACATTTTCCACCTCTAGATGTGCATACCTTGCCAAAAATCGCTTTGAGCATTGCTCCTTTGTGACCGTGGCCCAATTCTTGGACCGAAGCTGATAGTGATATAGCTACATGTATCTGGATTTTCTTATCCGTGTTGCTACTTTCAAGACTAGTCCAGTCATGATTGTTATACATGTACATATGTACTGTACATGTACAGTACATCACTACATGTTCTTGGTTCTTGGTTGGTTCTTCTCCTAAATACTCCACGTGGGAGTTTATACAGGAGGCCAGAAACACCGGGGCAAACCCTGTGTCATGGTACATGTTTGTACAGTCAACTCTCATTAATACAAAGTCGGCCGGACCTAGTATAGCCAAATGTTTGTTATGATCAGAATTTTGTATTAACAGTGTCAGTGATTGCATTAACAAGAGTCGACTGTGCATGAAAAAAATACACTAAGTTGGCCCCATTTTGTAGTTATGGTGTTTTTAATAAGATGGATAGGGGCGGCCCCAGCCCACCGCACAAAAAAGGGTGCTGCATCGTTATCTCGTATTTTTTGTCACTCCTTAATTATGTGCCAAATAGAGTTTGAATTTTCTCGGAAATTGATCAGATCACAGCGGACCTAAAATAACCGCATATTTCTCTAAAATTCCCCAAATAAAGCCGTGATAATAATACATTTTCCCCTGAAATTGCCACTGAGTATCATGTGACCGCCTGCACGTCAAGGCCAGTACAGTTGTGGCCAAGATACAGTTTACACTCGTTAAATACAAACTCTGTTGAAATTCTGGTTATAGTGAACATAACGCCTTGGCCCCGACTGTGCATTTTTACACAGCAGATTGGTGATTAAAGATTGTTCATTTGATGATAGAGGCAAGAAATAGGGCACACAGTCAGAGTATGTCATGGGAAAGATATTTGGGTATAGGGCCATCGCACATTTGTCCTTTGAAAAAAATATCATAGGATGACAGGCAATTTTCAAATTTTTCCAAATGGCGGCCATTACATGTTGTGATATTGTTTTCAAAGGACAAATCTGCGATGGCCCTATAGCCAAGTGTCTTTCCCATATACATGTACATGTACACCGACTGCGTGCCAAATTTCATGCTTTTATCATCAAATTAACAATTCCATCATATTGTGCACCAATCTGCCTGACTATTTATGTGTACAATGAATGGACCGTACCGACGCGACGCACCTCTAATACAAAATTCTGATGTAACAAACATACAAAATTCTGATGTAACAAACACTTTTTGCAAGGTCCGGCTGCTCTCTAAATTCCAAAGAGTGAAATTAGGGACTAGACGTTTTAGAGTGAAAATCAGTCTCATTTTCGATTGAAATACATTAGTCTGGAAAAAAAGAGCCACTTCAGTCGAAGCTCGGGTGAAAACTCGATTCGATTGAAGAACTTTCACTCTAAAACGTCTTGTCCCTAGATTCCAACTGTGGGGGTGAATCTTCACTCGAATGGAGTGAATTTTCACTCTTTGGAATTTAGAGTGCAGGTTTGTATTAACGAGAGTCTACTGAAGGGCCTATTTGGCACTGACCTGGGGTTGGGACTTGGGAGATTTGCCAACGATGCAAGGTTGTGATAATTGAGAAGTTCCTTGCTTTCTTGGAGGGGAAACTAGAGTTTATTGGGAGAGGTCACGTGAGCGTGCGTGTGACCTTCCAACCCGATCATGACTCTGATACATCAACATTGACGGTATACATGTATTTACTTGGAATCAAAATTGTGGCTCGAGTTTCATATTTCCACCTCCGCAGCTGGAGGTTTTCCCATTAAGGTCGTGCAACTCTGCGGTTTTCCACTGTTCTTTGAAAAAAAAATGTGATGGCCCCGGCACGTGTCATTAATGATACTGAATATACATCATTGTAACTGGGTGAGATTTATTTAAATAAAGAAATTAAATAAATCACACCCAAATAAGCTTTCCCAAATTTAAGAAAACTTTAAAGAATCTTTTGAAAATGGTGATAGCAGACATGGAGTTTGTTGGCTGCCATGAATACAGTTTTTTCCGGATCCCGTTGTAAACTGTTTTTCCAGATTACGTTGTCTGCGACAGTATCCATGGTAGGGTCTATTGTGTTTGCACTTGAAAACTTGTGCTTAAAGGAAATATACAACATTCGTAAACATCGAAAAATAAAACTACCAAGTTTTTTTTACGAAATACCTTACTAGGATGTTGGTAACTGACAGTCTCAAGCATCTTGTAAAGTAATGGCACCTGGTGTGAAGTCATTTCCAAGAAAATGGTGTTTTTGTAAACATTTCCAACCGTGGTCGGCCGACCAGCGTTGGAAAAACCTAACTATTTTTCAATTACTGCTCCAAATTTACCATTTTTTCAGTCCAAATTTTGTTTGCTATTGGTCAGTACATGTTCATGAACGGGTGTAGGCCAGCTAGACTGGTTCCCTTGCCTTACAATTTTCCATCATCTATAAATTGATCCATTTGATCTTTTGTGGAGTCAGGGAACCAGAGTACTTGAACATTTTTGTTTTTCTTGGTTTTCCAACCTTTTCGAACACAAAACTTCAAAAATGTCAGTGTAACAATATTTGATCTATTATACTAACCTCTCAAATAGTTCATTTCTGAAAATTACAGCAAAAGCCAATGATGTACATTCCCTTTAAAGGGAAAATACAACATTTGCAAACATCAAAAAACGAAATGATAAAATTACCACGAAATACCTTAGTGAATTGTTAGGGACTGACAGTCTAAAGCATCCTTTAAAATCGTGGCTCCTGGTGGGCTGACATTTTCAAGAAAAACTGTATTTTTCCAACGCTGGTCGGCCGACCAGCGTTGGAGAAAACTGGCTTTTTTTCAAAAACTGTTGTTAATTTTTCATATTTAGTTATTCTGACTTTTCTTTGCAATTGATCACACACCTGTGAAGGGGTACAAGCCTGCTAGACTGATTCTCTAACCTTACAATTCCCCAAAGTGTATTAATTGCTTCGTTTCATCTTAAGTTAGGTCAGGGAACCAGACTACAAGAACATGATAGGTTTTCTTGGTTTTTCCAGCATCTACAAGCCCAAAACATGAAACAAGTCAGTTTAACAATATTTTATATAACATACTAATCCTCCAAATCCATTTATTTCTGAAAATTGCAGCAAAAGCCAATGATGTACATTCCCTTTAAGCTTGTCATGTCAGTGGTGTGATTGTCGATGCTCCAAATCTGCACAGTATCTCAATCCTTGTAAAGTTGATTTCTGCAGCGTCAAGCGTTGTATAATACGGTCGGAGCCGTCACAACAGATGCTTAGCGGCCACCTGAGAAGGCATCTTTTGATAATTCAATTCAGTATAACAGTGAATGCACAAAAGGTTCACCCACACCCACATTTGTATCCTTGTGGAGACATTTCTTTGTTCTTGTGTAGTAAAGTTTTCAATTTTGAAAGTGAAGTTTCAAAATGCACTTATTTTAACCAGAATTTCCTTGGCTGAAATTCGGACTTAATATCCCTTTTCTAAAACTCTTCCATTTGCGACACATCAACCCACCTTGGAAATTCCTTGTTTTTGAGTAAAATCCATATATCTTTTTCGTGAAAACCTTGTGGAGACCTATTCATCTATAAAAATTGCCTTGTGGAGACCTTTACAATGTTTTGTTCCCTAGTGTGTGTGTGTCTTCACAAGGATACAAATTTGAGCACACTCCTGCATATACAAGCAAGAACAAAGGCATTGCCCTCTAAGATGGCTACTACGCACAAGGTGGTGTTAGTCTTGAGGAGTTCCAACATGCCCATCTCAAAATGAGTGTCAAGTCAAAGTCATTGATTCACAAGTCATCTCACAAGCTACTACTAGACTCAACAATTGCAAAAGCATCCCCTGTACGTCTTGCTCTATGGTTGTACATGTACATGTACATATACATGTACATTGTGTACATGTACATATACATTGTGTACATGTGACGAAACTCTTGAATGGATTAACTTTGTGACCGGACTTGTGATGGACTAGACTACACAACACTGACTTGTGTTTTGGGGCAATCATTATTTTTGTCTCGTACTTTGGTCAGTGATGACCATGATGTCGCCTTCTGTATAGAGCTTAATTCTGAAGCTGATGATAAGGCCACTCTGTTTCCAACAGTGTCCAAGAAAACAGTGACTTGTGTTTTGGGGCAATCATTATTTTTGTCTTGAAAATTGGTCAGTGATGGCTATATCGCCTTCTGTATAGAGCTTAATTCTGAAGCTGATAAGGCCACTCTGTTTCCAACGATTTCAGTTTCCAAGAAATGCACAAGTTATTTCCCGCGTTGACCTCGGCCCAGCCTCCAGCTAGCTGTTTCCTTGCTCTATTATGTTCTCAGTGAGGGGTCGTGTTCATCATCGGCATCCTCGAGTGTTCGAGGAACGGACGGAGCAGTAATTGAGAGACCATCTTTGCCTGTGGGATGCTAAATGAAAGCAGATCTTGCATGCTGCGAAGTCTCTAAATTCCTTCAAGTTGACCCGTGACAGTGTTCAAGACGAGTCCGTTGTCCCCCGAAAGTCCAGCTGGCACA